CCTTAATCATGGGGTGCAGGCTGTTCATTCAGACTACACTGCCTTAATCATGGGGTGCAGGCTGTTCATTCAGACTACACTGCCTTAATCATGGGGTGCAGGCTGTTCATTCAGACTACACTGCCTTAATCATGGGGTGCAGGCTGTTCATTCAGACTACACTGCCTTAATCATGGGGTGCAGGCTGTTCATTCAGACTACACTGCCTTAATCATGGGGTGCAGGCTGTTCATTCAGACTACACTGCCTTAATCATGGGGTGCAGACTGTTCATTCAGACCCTCACTGTCTTGTTGCTAGATCACGGAGTGCAGACTGTTCTCATCCAAATCACGTCACTTTTTATGTAACCATTTTTTAATGAAGTAATTTTTCATTGAACACTACAGTAACATGAAAAGAAATGGCCATGGCCTGAACCATTTAAATGTCTCTTTTCAATGTTCCTACTAGTTTACTAGTGAAAAGAAAAACATTTATGGTTTTACACAAAGGTTACATTACATGAAAAATGAATGAAAGAAAATGTCTGCCTTTGGAATGTGTCTGCCAACAAGTCTATTGAATGTCTTGGTCTAAGAATTAAGTCTATTGAATGAGTTGTTACATGGAATCTGAAGCACATGACTAATAAAGTTTGATTTGAGCAGACGCAAACACATCAAAGAAGAGTTTGTGACGATGTCATAAAAATAACAGCTAGAAATGAAGGTAGCAAGTTGCTAGACTTTTATAATAATAATATAAAATGCCATTTAGCAGACGCTTTTATCCAAAGCGACTTACAGTCATGTGTGCATACATTTTTTTTGTGTATGGGTGGTCTACCAGCTGAGCTACAGAGGATCATGTGTTTTGACAGTAAAGGACAATTTGTAAGGAACTTAACATTTTAGGATTAGATTACGGTTGGCTTTGTTTATTTATTTTTTATTTTTTTGCAGGAACATTTTGATACATTTTCCATCCCCAGATATTAGATACACTGCTATAACTTCATAAAATACTGTTGTGTTGAAAAGGTATCTAAAGGGCTTTTTATAGCCCCAGGGAAAATACTGTTGTGTGTTGAAAAGGTATCTAAAAGGCTTTTTTAATAATAGCCCCAGTGAAAATACTGTTGGGTGTAGAAAATTCCAGCTTGTCCAATTATTTTCTAAATCAATTCTGAGTGCTGGTATTTCTTTAAGCTGGCTAAAGCTGCAATGTGCTTTTACAGAAGTGTGTGAGGGGGGGGGGGGGGGGGAGGGGGAGGGGGGGGGGGGGGGGGGGGGGGGGAGTACCCTCGGTTGTTTGGTGTCATGACTGAGTGTTTGAATGTGAGCTTGTATGTAAGGGATGAGTGGGTAAAGGTATGCGATTTAGTGGATGTGAATTGTGTTTTCTTAAGAACCATGTGAGTAGACGGGAATGTTCCAGAATGGTTCGAATGGAACGTTCCAGAATGGTGAGCAGATACAGTAGGAGAGTTCTGTGAATGTTCCAGAATGGTTCGAATGGAACGTTCCAGAATGGTGAGCAGATACAGTAGGAGAGTTCTGTGAATGTTCCAGAATGGTTCGAATGGAACGTTCCAGAATGGTGAGCAGATACAGTAGGAGAGTTCTGTGAAGGTTCTAGAATGGTTCTGGTGTCTGTCTTCTGCAGCTGTCTCGTTCACTGTTTCCCCGTTTTAGAAACTCGCAGGCCTGACAATTCCCCCTGAGACGCGCGCGCGCGCGCACACACACACACACACACACACACACACACACACACACACACACACACACACACACACACACACACACACACACACACACACACACACACACACACACACACACACACACACACACACACACACACACACACACACACACACACACACACACACACACACACACACACACACACACACACACACACACACACACACACACACACACACACAATCTGATTCTGTGCCACAGTTGAACCAACTTCTGCACGAAAAATGCTAATATCGGTCTCATGACTTGAATGGGATTTGTGCCAAAAATGCTAAAACGTTAGCATGTGGAAACAGTGCCAGGGAAACTAAACCAAAGCATGGATTGCTGTCATACCTTGTCCATAGACTGCTTACAGCGGGGGGGGGGGGGGGGCAAAGTACGGCCCGACGGGCACGTCAATCCGGCCCGCGAGACATTTTTTTAATGTATTAAATATGATTTTATTTTAGTTATGATTTTTGGCCTTAAATTACTAATTCCGTGATATACAAACAACCTCCAATAGATGGCCCTGTAGCCTGGTCTGTATTTGGGCCTACAGTCAGATTCAGAATGCGCTCAGTCATCATAGCCACCTCATCGCTTGACGACTTTTGACGTGAAAAATGAGTGCTGCGAAAATGAGAAAAGTGGACTCTGAATGTCGTGTGTTTTTAAAGAAGAATGGACAGCAAAATAATTTTTTACTAATATATGCCAAGAAAGTGTTGCCGGTTTTAAGGAATAAAATCTCAATCGTCATATTTCAAGCAATCATGCTAACTACGCTAGCAGTCTGTCCTCTCAGGAAAAGTTAAGGAAGGCCTCAAAACTTGCCACAAACTTAAAAGCCCAGCAAAATACGTTTACTAAACGGTGCTCTACTCAAGACTCCGTAACTAAGGGCTACGTAGTGGCACATACAATCGCAAAGCATAGCAAGCCTTTTTGCTGCAGGGGAGTTTGTGAAAGAGTGTATGGTGGAGACCGCTGGTATACTTTGTCCTGAGAGTAAAAAGCCAATTCGAGAAAATGAGCTTATCACGCAGAACCATCACCAGGCGCGTAGAAGTGATCGGTGGTCCTCTGTAGCTCAATTGGTAGAGCACGGCGCTTGTAACGCTAGGGTAGTGGGTTCGATCCCCGGGACCACCCCATACGTAAAAATGTATGCACACATGACTGTAAGTCGCTTTGGATAAAAGCGTCTGCTAAATGGCATTATTTTATTGTATTATTTATAGGTGAGGATCTAATCTCAGAGTTGAAGAAAAAAAAAGCAGATGGTTTCCATCTTTTTTCTATAGCACTGGATGAGAGTACTGACATCAGAGACACCGCTCAACTTTACATTTTTTGGTCATAGGAATAAATGAGAGCTTTGAAATAACAGAGGAACTTCTTGCGATGGAATCAATGATGGGAACAACCAGGGGCTCTGACAGGGTGTCTGCCTGCTTGGAAACAATGAATCTACCGTGGAGAAAACTGACAAACGTCACAACGGATGCATCACCAGATCTAACTGGTAAAAACATTGGCCTACTAAAAAGATTACAAGACAAAGTAAAAGAAGAAAGCCTTAACTCGGAGGAATTGATATTTCTTCACTGTATTATTCATCAGGAAGCCCTGTGTCAAAGTGTGTTAAAGCTGGAAAATGTTGTCAAAGTGGTTGTAAAACTTGTCAACTTTATACGGGCAAGGGGGCTTAACCATCGTCAGTTCATTCAGCTGCTCAATGACACAGAGGCAGAGCACCAGGACTTGTTGTACCATTCAAATGTGCACTGGCTAAGCCTGGGAAAAGTATTTTGCCGTGTGTGGGAACTGAGAGGGGAGATAGGTATGTTCCTTGATACGGTTGGTAAAGCTGACGACTTCTCCGAGTTGAAAGACAGACTGGCCGGGCGACTTTGCTTTCGGTGTGGACATATTGGTGCATCTGAACGGTCTAAATGTGAAACTGCAGGGAAATTGTGTTTTTGTGGATGAACTGTATTCCAACGTGAAAGCATTCAAGTCCAAACTTATGTTGTTCTCCAGACAAATGAGCAGCCGGTCTCTCGCTCATTTTCCGACACTGGCCGCACTGTCCGCCCACATCGCAGAGCCGCACTGAGACGTACAGTAGCACTTTGATCGACCTGCATGCTGAGTTTTCCCGCCGCTTCTCAGACTTCACCAAGAGTGAGACTGAGCTGTAGCTTGTATCACGCCCCCTGTCTTTAGACAGGGAGAAAGAACCACCAGACACACAATTGGAGCTCATCGACATCCAATGTGACAGTGCTTTGAAGGAGAAGTACAAAACAGCAACAGTAGACCAGTTATATGGCTCACTGAATGAAACAAAGTTTCCAAACATTCAAAAGCACGCCCAAAGTTTTATTCGGGTCCACATATGTGTGTGAAAAAAAAAAAAAAAGTTCTCAATCATGAATTACAACAAATCCCGTCACAGGTCAAATTTAACAAAAGAGCTATTCTGAGAATCTCTACATCAAAGATGACACCAGACTTTGATGCCCTTGCCAAGAGAGGTGACCAGGCCCATTGTTCACATTTAAGACTCGAATAACCGTGACTGGGGAAGGCAAGGATTATGCTTTTTCATGGTGATGGTTATGCAGTGAGAATTATCCAGCAATGCACTTGGATACAGGGTAATAACTAGTCAGTCAGATTTGGGCTGAGGTGATTGGATAACTGTAAATACGGCTCACAATGGAGATGAGAATTGATCCTTAATATGCTTTCAAAAACAGACCGTTCCAAATTGAAACGGATGCTCTCACCGTATGTTTCACTCAAATGTTTAGAATCGTTTTTTTTTTTACACATCTGCTGTTACATTTTGCATGTCTCCAGTCACATAATATATATCTAATTTTAAAGTTAGCATATTGTGACTGTAAGTTTGATTTGTACTTTACAAGGGTAGAGATGCAGGATCTGTGTGTGTGTGTGTGTGTGTTTGACTGTGTCTGTGATGTTATAAACTATATATCAATTTTGTGAAAGATGTGTTCACAAAAAACAAGGGTAGAATTGTTCTGCAAACACATGTACACCTACACTACACTAGTAGTTACGTGTGAAAATGAATAAAGGCTTCACATGTTTTGTCACGCATGTAGTATGTGGCCCTTCACTTGGTTTCAAAAACTCAATGCGGCCCTTGAGCCAAAAGGTTTGCCCACCCCTGGCCTACAGGGTAAGGAAAACAATGTGTAACTTGTGTAAACTATCCCTTTAACAACGTGATCAAAACTTTTGTTGCTCCTTGCTGAAACAAGCAAGGTGTAGCAAACAAGTATTTGGTTGCCTAGGCCAGGACTCCCCATCTGGTTGCCTAGGCCAGGACTCCCCATCTGGTTGCCTAGGCCAGGACTCCCCATCTGGTTGCCTAGGCCAGGACTCCCCATCTGGTTGCCTAGGCCAGGACTCCCCATCTGGTTGCCTAGGCCAGGACTCCCCATCTGGTTGCCTAGGCCAGGACTCCCCATCTGACGGCCCCCGCTGGTGTTTTTATTTGCCCCCACCCCCCAAAAAAAATTATATTAATTTTTTTGTTGGACATAAAATACTATAGAAACAGCAGCCAATCAGCTCCAAGTTTATTAGAATGTTGGAAATGTGTTCCAAAGTATTCCTACGCATAATAAGGAGATGTATGTGATCTTGTACAAATGTAAGCAATGTTTGAAATGATTGTTTTAGTCAAATATTATCTGTTTGGGATTCTTGCTGCTCCCTCAATGCTGCAACAGCACACTTTGAAATAGAATGAGCTTGGTATCTCTAACTCTGGCAATTTGGACTGGTAAACACGTGGGTAAACTCGCAATGGCTGCCTGGTATTATGATGCAATGTAGAATGTCCATTCAAATGTTTTTTTTTTTTGCAATGTCAGTTGAGTTGAATCAACGAATCACAGCACATATTGATGGCTACACTTCCTGCTTTTACTACCTGCTTTACTCCTATGGCCGCCATGCCATCCATTAAGCCATCATTGACTTTAATTGGGACGCCCGTTCTATTCATTCAATTAAAAAAATAAAATGTTTTACCCCTTTTTTATCCCCAATTTCGTGATATCCAATCGGTAGTTAGTCTTGTCCCATCGCTGCAACGCCCTTACGGACTCGGGAGAGGCGAAGGTCGAGAGCCATGCGTCCTCCGAAACACGACCTTGCCAAGCCGCACTGCTTCTTGACACACTGCCACACTTAACCCGGAAGCCAGCTGCACCAATGTGTCGGAGGAAACACTGTCCAGCTGGCGACAGCAGTCAGCTTGCAGGCGCTCGGCCTGCCACAAGTAGTCGCTAGAACGCGATGGGACAAGGAAATCCCGGCCGGCCATACCCTCCCCTAACACGGACGACGCTGGGCCAATTGTGCGCCGCCTCATGGGTCTCCCGGTCACAGCCTGGGATCGAACCCGGGTCTGTAGTGACGCCTCAATGCAGTGCCTTAGACCTCAGCGCCACTCGGGATGCCATTCATTCTATTTCTATGGCAGCACATGCAGAAGAGACAATGTGAGTATTTTTTTATATTCTAACGGTTATGACGGTGAACCGCGGCCATTTGGCTGGTCAATAAGTCATCTAAAATTCCATGACCGTCACAGCCCTATAGATCCCTCTGGGTCTATGGGTCCTCTGGGTCTATGGGTCCTCTGGGTCTATGGGTCCTCTGGGTCTATGGGTCCTCTGGGTCTATGGGTCCTCTGGGTCTATGGGTCTATGGGTCCTATGGGTCTATGGGTCTATGGGTCCTCTGGGTCTATGGGTCCTCTGGGTCTATGGGTCCTCTGGGTCTATGGGTCCTCTGGGTCTATGGGTCCTCTGGGTCTATGGGTCCTCTGGGTCTATGGGTCCTCTGGGTCCTCTGGGTCTATGGGTCCTCTGGGTCTATGGGTCTTGGGTCTATGGGTCCTCTGGGTCTATGGGTCCTCTGGGTCTATGGGTCCTCTGGGTCTATGGGTCCTATGGGTCCTATGGGTCCTCTGGGTCTATGGGTCCTCTGGGTCTATGGGTCCTATGGGTCTATGGGTCCTCTGGGTCTATGGGTCCTCTGGGTCTATGGGTCCTCTGGGTCTATGGGTCCTCTGGGTCTATGGGTCCTGGTCAAAAGTTGTCCGCTATAAAAAGAATAGTGCCATTTCCCATAGATACTAAAGCTGTTGGTTGTTCCAGTACTGGAAAAAGTACCCAATTTGTCATACTTGAGTAAATGTAAAGATGCCTAGAAAATGACTCAAGTTAAAGGCACCCAGTAAAATCCTACTTAAGTAAAAGTCTAAAAGTATTTGGTTTTAAATATACTGAAGTATCAAAAGTAAATGGAATTGCTAAAATATACTTAAGTAACAAAAGTAAAAGTATAAATCATTTCAAATTCCTTATATTAAGCAAACCAGATGGCAGCATTTTTTATATTTTTTTTTTATTGACGGATAGCCAGGGGCACAGTCCAACACTGACATCATTTAAAAACTAAGCATGTGTTTAGTGAGTCCGCCAGATCAGAGGCAGTAGGGATGACCAGGGATGTTCTCTTCATAAGTGTGTGAATTGGACCATTTTCCTGTCCTGCTAAGCGTTCAAAATGTAACGAGTACTTTTGGGTGTTAGGGGAAAAAAAATAAAAAACTACATCATTTTCTTTAGGACTGTAGTGAAGTAAAAGGTGTCAAAAATAGAAATAGTAAATAGAGCAGTTTGTCCATCCCGGCTCTAGTGGGTTTTCTGGTTGATATTGGGCCAGCGACACACACAGGGGCTATGACCCACTAAGTGCTCCAGAGAGGTCTGAGCTGTGGGACGGTCGGAGCTGTGGGACGGTCTGAGCTGTGGGACAGTCTGAGCTGTGGGACGGTCTGAGCTGTGGGACAGTCTGAGCTGTGGGACGGTCTGAGCTGTGGGACGGTCTGAGCTGTGGGACGGTCTGAGCTGTGGGACAGTTTGAGCTGTGCGACAGTCTGAGCTGTGGGACGGTCGGAGCTGTGGGACGGTCGGAGCTGTGGGACGGTCGGAGCTGTGGGACGGTCTGAACACTGTCTGAACTGTGGGACGGTCTGAGCTGTGGGACGGTCTGAACACTGTCTGAGCTGTGGGACGGTCGGAGCTGTGGGACGGTCTGAGCTGTGGGACGGTCTGAGCTGTGGGACGGTCTGAGCTGTGGGACGGTCTGAGCTGTGGGACGGTCTGAGCTGTGGGACGGTCTGAGCTGTGGGACGGTCGGAGCTGTGGGACGGTCTGAACACTGTCTGAGCTGTGGGACGGTCTGAACTGTGGGACGGTCTGAGCTGTGGGACGGTCTGAACACTGTCTGAACTGTGGGACGGTCTGAGCTGTGGGACGGTCTGAGCTGTGGGACGGTCTGAGCTGTGGGACGGTCTGAGCTGTGGGACGGTCTGAGCTGTGGGACGGAGAGAGGGTGGGCTAGTGTGTGTGTGTGTGCAGGCTAGTAGAGTGGGATGTTTTTAAAAAATGGCTTCGTAGCCCACGTGCCCAGAGCACACAATCTGTGTTAGTCTGGCTTTCAAGCCGTTTACATCTAAATGCCCTGTTACAAAAGGCTTACTGTAGGGGAAATGCAGCATTTACCTCCTGTAAATTTGATTTTGATCGAGTTGGGTTTTTTGATCAGCGGGTGAGAGATTTCTCTGGGGTTTTGAAGCGTATGGTGGACAGTGCGTCACAGGCAGGACTAGTGTTGTACTCCTATCCAGACAGACCCGGGTTCAAATGCTATTCTAAATCATTTAAAATACTTAAGCTGGGCTTGATTTGAGCTTGCCTGGTGCAATGGAAGCAGTAAAATAGTTGAGAAAGTGCAAACCCTGTGCATCTGGCACCTCAGACAGGCCGAAGCAGATGCTAAAGATTTCAAATAGTATTTGAACCCAGGTGTGTTCCTGCCTATTCAGAGCCTATTGTAGCGGACTCCATGGCGTATTAGCCAAAGTCACAGAATGGCACTAGATCCGGACAGATAAACTCAGCTACTGCCCTGGAAGTTGGGCATCTTTTGAGTTGAATATGATTACATTTGCTTGTTTTGTCACATAAACTGAAATTAGGCTAACTATTAGAATTTTAGCAACCGGGAAATGGCGGAGCGATTTCTTCATAGTGCACCTTTTTTAAAGCTGGAAGCTACAGGTATCATCTTCCATTGTAAAAGTGTTCTAGCCTGTATGGACATCCCAGGAGGATGGTGGTAATGGCTGGAGCAGAATCAGTGGAATGGTATCTTGCGAACAGTTTCAACATTTTCTACATGACGTGTTGCATTATTCAAGTGTGTTAGCGTGAGCCGACAATGCAGCCCAGACCGCTCTAGCAATGAGTGGGTAAGTGGAGCAATTTGACAGAAGTACTGAAAGTACCAAATTCCCTCACCGAACCGTTTTTATTTTAGTAATTGGAAAAAGTACCGAAGTTTCGGTATACCGTGCAACACTAGTTTTTACACAGTTCTTTTTGTGCAACCATTACTGAGTGTTGTTCCAGTTGAAGGGTTATTTTGTGTTATACTCATATTCATCTTGATGAAGTCTTTAAAAAGACGTATAAGTGCATGTGGCATATGATCAACTTTCTCTCGTGAAAATATATGCGTGATAGTAACAACCTGGTTGTCTTTCTGATACAATGTAACACATTCCCAAAATACCTTTTTTATAAGGCTTGAAATTATTTATGCATTGAATTAAATTGAAATAAATAAAAGATAAATAAATACATACATATTTAATAGCAAAGGCGCATCAGTCTAATGTAGACAGTCTACATGGGGCCAATATTTTAGCCCACATCGTGCCAATGTGGGCATGTTTACCGGGGCGGCAGATAGCTCTTCGAGGTTAGAGCGTTGGGATAGTAAGCGAAAGGTTGCTGGTTCAAATACCGAAGCGGACAAGGTGAAAAATGTGCCCTTGAGCAAGGCACTTAATCATAATTGCTCCAAGGGGCACTCCCTGCGGGTGTCTCGGGGAGAGTTGAGATATGCAAAATAAAATAACATTTCCATTACACACTTGTAAAAACACCCCCCAAATGATTATGTTTTCTGGGACAAGATGGGCTTCTATCAGGCAAGGTGAGAACTGCCTTCACCAGATATAGGCTGGCCACACTGGGCCAATGCCTTGGGACCAACATGGAGCCCAATGTGGGCAGCCTACATGTTGCCAATATTTCAGCCCGCATTGGGCCCATGTGGACATGTTTTCTGAGTAGGTACCAGACCAGGTAGACAGGCTGAAATTATCTTGTCTGCCCTGACCCTGTCCCTGTCTGCCCAAATACAGGCCTCAGTTCAGCTCATAATCAAGTTGTCAGCGACCTACTGTTTCACCCAAATACTGGTCTGGAGTCAGGACCTAAACGTGATGCTGTTTGCTAGTCGAATCCGTGAACAATGTTTTTATCTGAGAATAGCCCCTTAGCTGCCCTGCCTCTGCCTTTGGAAGTCTACATGTATTTACTGGCTCATTTCAAAACCTCTGCTGCCTGTTTCGTGTTGTGGTGGCGACTCTCTCACTAAGAACCTTAAGACCGCAAGCTACAGTAGCAGGACTAAGACATTAAAGAGCAGGGTTCAGACTAAAGAGAAGTCCTTTTACTACACCGTAAAAAAATAACCTAGACGCTGACTAAGAACTGGTGTATACTGGAGGTGCCCTACTGTACGACGGTAATGTTTTAAAAGGGTAGTTTGGGATTTTGGCAATGAAGCCCTAATCTATTTCCCCAGAGTCAGATGAAGTTGTGGACAGTGTTCCCTGCAAGCTGCTCGCTGGTGCGCGGTAGCACTCAGACTGCCTCGCGGAAATATCAGCTCACAGAGAAGAAGCACGAGATTTGAACTTCACTCAAACTTTCTAGAGTTTCCACCTGTTAGTTAACACGATCAACGTTTCCCTTTTACTGTGGCAATTGTGATCTGATCAACGCAATATTAACCACTTTCAATGCAACATACCGAAACAAAACAGACTATGCAAGAGCAGTAGGCGGGTAAAATCACCAAGAAGCCAAGCCCCCCCCCCCAACCCCCACCACAAAAAAAGCCATATTACAACAGTAAACGTGAAAATTTGCTCAGTGCCCAAAACCTTTTTAGGGAACATTAATTGTGGATCTCTGCGTGCAGTTTGATGGAAGTTGCTAACTAGAGTTAGTGGAATTCCTAACTAGCGTTAATCAGTGGGAACTGCTAGCATTGTGTAGTGGCGCAGTGGTCTAAGGCACTGCATCGCAGTGCTAGCTGTGCCACTAGAGATCCTGGTTCGAGTCCAGGCTCTGTCGCAGCCGGCCGCGACCGGGAGACCCATGGGGCGGCGCACAATTGGTCCAGCGGCGTCCAAGGTAGGGGAGGGTTTGGCCGGCAGGGATGTGGGTTTATTTCCCACGGGGGCCCAGTATAAAATAAAATAAAATAAAACTACAAAAAACATGTATGCATTCACTAACTGTAAGTCGCTCTGGATAAGAGCGTCTGCTAAATGACTCAAATGTTAAATGCAGTGGTATCAGCAGTAGGTGGTAGCTAGTGTTAGCTGCTATCTGCGAGGCAGATCTAGGATCAGTTTAGCCTTTTAAATCATAATGAATCAGATTATATGATCCTACTCTGGTTCTGACCCATGTCAGATATTATCTGGATGGAAACCCGGCAGAGGAGAAGCAGTTGGTTCTGACCCATGTCAGATATTATCTGGATGGAAACCCGGCAGAGGAGAAGCAGTTGGTTCTGACCCATGTCAGATATTATCTGGATGGAAACCCGGCAGAGGAGAAGCAGTTGGTACTGACCCATGTCAGATATTATCTGGATGGAAACCCGGCAGAGGAGAAGCAGTTGGTTCTGACCCATGTCAGATATTATCTGGATGGAAACCCGGCAGAGGAGAAGCAGTGAAAGGTGATCTGGCCCTTTTATAGCAGCTGACAGCAGGGCCTTGTGGTGGTGGAGAAAAGGTGTTGATATGCTTCTCCTAACGCTGAACACATAGCTCACATCTCGTTCCACCACACACTAGGCTTTTTATAGCCCCAGTCCAGCTAACTGGGATGATTTTGATTCTTTAAAGTGTGGACGATGATGCAATGATTTCCTATTGTGGCTGGCTATCAGAACTGTCCTCTGCTTACACTCACTCACACACACACACACACACGCACTCACTCACACACACACACACACACACACACACACACACCCTTCAGTGTGCTCGCTTTAATCAAAGACTCCGCCTCTCATCCACCTCGTTTCATTAGACTCACAGGTCATTGGTTGGTGTTGGGGGGACAGTCACTCTGATTGGTTGGTGTTGGGGGGCAGACATTCTCATTGGTCTGTTGTTGGGGGGATGTGTAGCCTAATCATGACCTCTAACCTCTCTTCTTTGTGTGTGTGTTTGTCAGGTGAGGGAAGAGAAGGGTGTAGACGGGACTGTCTCAGCTCCGAGCCATGGAATGCCCCCTCCGTCCGCCACTAGCTGCCTCTTCTCCACAGACTGAGCTCCAGACGCTAAGTTAGCGGCACGCTTCTGCCCTCGAACGTAACACATCCAGGAAGGGACGAAGTCACAGCAGATCAGAGCTTCGTATGCACAGAGGACAGGATTTACAGCTCCTCTCCAACGCACCAACAGCTAGCTGCTTTTAGCTTAGTTGGTTAGGTTTAGTTGGTTAGGTTTTTCTTCTTTCTTGTTTTCTCTGTGGATTTGTGATTTTTGATCGAGAGTCAAGATGGTGGATTTACAAGAGTACCTGTGGATGGTGATCCTCGGCTTCGTGATAGCCTTCATCCTGGCCTTCTCTGTGGGGGCTAACGACGTGGCCAACTCGTTCGGGACGGCGGTGGGATCGGGGGTGGTGACGCTGAAGCAGGCCTGTATCCTGGCGTCCATCTTTGAGACGTTGGGTTCCATGCTGCTTGGAGCCAAGGTGGGGGAGACCATACGGAAGGGCATCATAGACGTCAACCTATACAACGAGACTGTGCCCGTACTTATGGCAGGGGAGGTCAGCGCCATGGTCGGTACGTATCATACATTGTGTGAGCGTTTCAGTGCTGGGTTTGGAGATGCTACCAGTCTGGGTGATCTGGGTCTGGAGATGTTACCAGTCTGGGTGATCTGGGTTTGGAGATGCTACCAGTCTGGGTGATCTGGGTTTGGAGATGCTACCAGTCTGGGTGATCTGGGTTTGGAGATGCTACCAGTCTGGGTGATCTGGGTTTGGAGATGCTACCAGTCTGGGTGATCTGGGTTTGGAGATGCTACCAGTCTGGGTGATCTGGGTCTGGAGATGCTACCAGTCTGGGTGATCTGGGTCTGGAGATGCTACCAGCCTGTCTGACAACAGGTTGTTATGCTGTCTGACAACAGGTTGTTATGTTGTCTTGTAGTATTATACAGCTGTCTGACAACAGGTTGTTATGCTGTCTGACAACAGGTTGTTATGCTGTCTGACAACAGGTTGTTATGCTGTCTGACAACAGGTTGTTATGCTGTCTGACAACAGGTTGTTATGTTGTCTTGTAGTATTATACAGCTGTCTGACAACAGGTTGTTATGCTGTCTGACAACAGGTTGTTATGCTGTCTGACAACAGGTTGTTATGCTGTCTGACAACAGGTTGTTATGCTGTCTGACAACAGGTTGTTATGCTGTCTGACAACAGGTTGTTATGATGTCTTGTAGTATTATACAGCTGTCTGACAACAGGTTGTTATGCTGTCTGACAACAGGTTGTTATGCTGTCTGACAACAGGTTGTTATACTGTCTGACAACAGGTTGTTATGCTGTCTGACAACAGGTTGTTATGCTGTCTGACAACAGGTTGTTATGCTGTCTGAAAACAGGTTGTTATGCTGTTTGACAACAGGTTGTTATGTTGTCTTGTAGTATTATACAGCTGTCTGACAACAGGTTGTTATGCTGTCTGAAAACAGGTTGTTATGCTGTCTGACAACAGGTTGTTATGCTGTCTGACAACAGGTTGTTATGCTGTCTTGTAGTATTATACAGCTGTCTGACAACCGGTTGTTATGCTGCCTGACAACAGGTTGTTATACTGTCTAACAACAGGTTGTTATGCTGTCCGACAACAGGTTGTTATGCTGTCTGACAACAGGTTGTTATGCTGTCTGACAACAGGTTGTTATACTGTCTAACAACAGGTTGTTATGCTGTCTGACAACAGGTTGTTATGCTGTCTTGTAGTATTATACAGCTGTCTGACAACAGGTTGTTATGCTGTCTGACAACGGGTTGTTATGCTGTCTGACAACAGGTTGTTATGCTGTCTGACAACAGGTTGTTATACTGTCTAACAACAGGTTGTTATGCTGTCTGACAACAGGTTGTTATGCTGTCTTGTAGTATTATACAGCTGTCTGACAACAGGTTGTTATGCTGTCTGACAACAGGTTGTTATGCTGTCTGACAACAGGTTGTTATGTTGTCTTGTAGTATTATACAGCTGTCTGACAACAGGTTGTTATGCTGTCTGACAACAGGTTGTTATGCTGTCTTGTAGTAATATACAGCTGTCTGACAACAGGTTGTTATGCTGTCTGACAACAGGTTGTTATGCTGTCTGACAACAGGTTGTTATGCTGTCTGACAACAGGTTGTTATGCTGTCTGACAACAGGTTGTTATGCTGTCTGACAACAGGTTGTTATGCTGTCTGTCAACAGGTTGTTATGCTGTCTGACAACAGGTTGTTATGCTGTCTGACAACAGGTTGTTATGCTGTCTGACAACAGGTTGTTATGCTGTCTGACAACAGGTTGTTATGCTGTCTTGTAGTATTATACAGCTGTCTGACAACAGGTTGTTATGCTGTCTGAAAACAGGTTGTTATGCTGTCTGACAACAGGTTGTTATGCTGTCTGACAACAGGTTGTTATGCTGTCTGACAACAGGTTGTTATGCTGTCTTGTAGTATTATACAGCTGTCTGACAACAATTTGTTATGCTGCCTCTCACTCTCACTCTCACTCTCTCTCACTCTCTCTCACTCTTTCTACAGGTTCTGCGATTTGGCAGCTCATTGCGTCGTTCCTCAAACTACCCATCTCTGGGACGCATTGCATCGTGGGTTCGACCATTGGGTTCTCCATGGTGGCCATTGGCACCAAGGGCGTTCAGTGGATGCAGCTGGTCAAGATTGGTATGTCTATGACTACGTTACCCAGCCTGCTCTGCATAGGGTTTACTATCTATGACTACAATACCCAGCCTGCAGCTGGTCAAGATGTATAATTGTTTATTTATTAGGATGTCTTTCAGCCCACCACTAGCTAGTCTAATATGGAACCTAGCCCTCTCTGTGTGAGTTCCAATCTCAAATAGACCATCTAGCCCTACCCCAAAGATATTGGGTATATGACTACATTACCCAGCCTCATGTTGATAGGCTTGACTGTCTGACTACATTACCTAGCCTCCTGTGGATAGGATTGACTGTCTGACTACATTACCCAGCCTGCTCTGGGTACAGTTCATTGTTCTATGACTACATTACCCAGCTTGCTCTGGGTACAGTTGACTGTTTGACTACATTACCCAGCCTGCCTTGGGGTATGGTTGACTGTCTATGAAAACATTACCCAGCCTGCTCTTGGGTAGGGTTTAATGTTTATGACTATGTTACATAGCCTGCTCTGGTGTAGGGTTGACTGTCTACGAAAACATTACCCAGCCTGCTCTGGGGTAGGGTTGACTGTCTATGAAAACATTATCCAGCCTGCTCTTGGGTAGGGTTGAATGTTTATGACTATGTTACATAGCCTGCTCTGGGGTAGGGTTGACTGTCTACGAAAACATTACCCAGCCTGCTCTGGGGTAGGGTTGACTGTCTATGAAAACATTACCCAGCCTGATCTGGGGTAGGGTTGACTGTCTATGAAAACATTACCCAGCCTGATCTGGGGTAGGGTTGACTGTCTATGAAAACATTACCCAGCCTGATCTGGGGTAGGGTTGACTGTCTATGAAAACATTACCCAGCCTGCTCTGGGGTAGGGTTGACTGTCTACGAAAACATTACCCAGCCTGCTCTGGGGTAGGGTTGACTGTCTATGACTACATTGCCCAGCCTGCTCTGGGGTAGGGTTGACTGTCTATGACTACATTGCCCAGCCTGCTCTGGGGTAGGGTTGACTGTCTATGACAGTCAACCCTAGGTCCCAAGAAACAAAGAGATCTTCTGTTAAATCTGACAATTCATCTTGATGGTTGTAAAGTCGTCTCAAATAAAACTGTGAAGGACCTCGGTGTTACTCTTGACCCTGATCTCTCTTTTGACGAACATATCAAGACTGTTTCAAGGACAGCTTTTTTCCATCTACGTAACATTGCAAAAATCAGAAATTTTCTGTCCAAAAATGATGCAGAAAAAATTAATCCATGCATTTGTTACTTCTAGGTTAGACTACTGCAATGCTCTATTTTCCGGCTACCCGGATAAAGCACTAAATAAACTTCAGTTAGTGCTAAATACGGCTGCTAGAATCCTGACTAGAACCAAGAAATTTGATCATATTACTCCAGTGCTAGCTTCCCTACACTGGCTTCCTGTTAAGGCAAGGGCTGATTTCAAGGTTTTACTGTTAACCTATAAAGCGTTACATGGGCTTGCTCCTACCTATCTTTCCGAGTTGGTCCTGCCGTACATACCAATACGTACGCTACGGTCACAAGACGCAGGCCTCCTAATTGTCCCTAGAATTTCTAAGCAAACAGCGGGAGGCAGGGCTTTCTCCTATAGATCTCCATTTTTATGGAACAGTCTGCCTACCCATGTGAGAGACGCAGACTCGGTCTCAACCTTTAAGTCTTTACTGAAGACTTATCTCTTCAGTAGGTCATATGATTGAGTGTAGTCTGGCCCAGGAGTGTGAAGGTGAACGGAAAGGCTGGAGCAACGAACAGCCCTTGCTGTCTCTGCCGGGCCGGTTCCCCTCTCCACTGGGGTTCTCTGCCTCTAACCCTGTTGCAGGGGCTGAGTCACTGGCTTGCTGGTGCTCTTTCATGCCGTCCCTGGGAGGGGTGCGTCACTTGAGTGGGTTGAGTTACTGACGTGATCTTCCTGTCTGGGTTGGCGCCCCCCCCTTGGTTTGTGCTGTGGTGGAGACCTCTGTGGGCTATACTCGGCCTTGTCTCAGGATTGTAAGTTGGTGGTTGGGGATATCCCTCTAGTGGTGCGGGGACTGTGCTTTGGCGGAGTGGGTGGGGTTATATCCTTCCTGTTTGGCCCTGTCCGGGGGTTTCTTCGGATGGGGCCACAGTGTCTCCGGACCGCTCCTGTCTCAGCCTCCAGTATTTATGCTGCAGTAGTTTATGTGTCGGGGGGCTGGGGTTAGTTGGTTATACCTGGAGTACTTCTCCTGTCTTATCCAGTGTCCTGTGTGAATTTAAGTATGCTCTCTCTAATTCTCTCGTTCTCTCTTTCTCTCTGAGAACCTGAGCCCTAGGACCATACGTCAGGACTACCGGGCATGATGACACCTTGCTGTCCCCAGTCCGCCTGGCCTTGCTGCTATTCCAGTTTCAACTGTTCTGCCTGCGGCTACGAAACCCCTACCTGTCCCAGACCTGCTGTTTTCAACTCTTTAATGATCGGCTATGAAAAGCCAACTGAGAGACCTGAGCCCTAGGACCATACGTCGGGACTACCGGCCGTGGTGACTCCTTGCTGTCCCCAGTCCGCCTGGCCTTGCTGCTATTCCAGTTTCAACTGTTCTGCCTGCGGTTATGGAACCCCTACCTGTCCCAGACCTGCTGTTTTCAACTCTTAATGATCGGCTATGAAAAGCCAACTGAGATTTATTCCTGATTATTATTTGACCATGCTTGTCACTTATGAACATTTTTGAACATCTTGGCATGGTTCTGTTATAATCTCCACCCGGCACAGCCAGAAGAGGACTGGCCACCCCTCATAGCCTGGTTCCTCTCTAGGTTTCTTCCTAGGTTTTCGCCTTTCTAGGGAGTTTTTCCTAGCCACCGTGCTTCTACACCTGCATTACTAGCTGTTTGGGGTTTTAGGCTGGGTTTCTGTACAGCACTTCGAGATATTAGCTGATGTAAGAAGGGCTATATAAAATAAAATTGATTGATTGATTGATGACTACATTACCCAGCCTGCTGTCTATGGTCCAATACCAAATAGACCCCTAAAACCAATATCTTACCCTCTTAGGCTGATCACCACCTGAGCGTACTGACTGATCTAGAAATCATCACCTTAGGATACAAGGTTATTTGTACATCATCCATTCTGCTCAGGCAGGCTGGGATCAGTGACCAATCATAATTGATGCTCTCAAACATGACCTATGACTACATTACCCAGCCTGCCCCATCTTGTCCTGTTTTTCTCCAGTTGCATCCTGGTTCATCTCTCCCCTACTGTCGGGACTGATGTCTGGGTTCCTCTTCTTCCTCATCAGACACTTCATCCTTAATAAGGTGGGTTACCAGTAGTCACATTATACACTAGTAGTAGTTTGTATGCTGTCAGAGGAGGCTGGTGGGAGGAGCTACAGTTTAGGAGGAAGGGCTCATTGTAATGTCTGGAATGGAATACATGGAACACTGTCAAACATATGTTTGACTCCTTTCATTAATTCCATTCCAGCCATTACAATGAGCCGTCCTCCTATAGCTCCTCCCACCAGCCTGTGTGTGTGGTTCTGACGTGTGTGTGTGTTTTTGTGTGTGTAGTGCGGGTGTGGTTCTGACCTGTGTGTGTGTGTTTGTCTTTAGGATGACCCGGTCCCCAACGGTCTCCGTGCCCTGCCAGTGTTCTACGCCTCAACGATAGGCATCAACGCCTTCTCCATTCTTTATACAGGAGCACCATGTAAGAACTGGGACCTAACCCAACCCTAACCTAGCCCTTTACACAGGAGCACCATGTAACAACTGGGACCTAACCTAACCTAACCCAACCCTAACCTAGCCCTTTACACAGGAGCACCATATAACAACTTGGACTTAAGAGGGGCACTTCACCACTTTTTAACCTCATCTATTCATCCAGCACCATACCAGTGTCTACATAGTGAAAACGGTGATTATCTACAACTGTGTCTGTGTTTTGCAGTGCTGGGCTTACCACTCTGTTTAAATGTGTGTCTCGTCTCGCTTTCTCTCTCTCTCTCTCTCGGCTCTCTCTCTCGGCTCTCTCTCTCTCTCTTCTCTCTCTCTCTCTCTCTCTCTTCTCTCTTCCTCTCTCTCTCTCTCTCTCGGCTCTCTTCTCTCCTCTCTCGCTCTCTTCTCTCTCCGGCTCTCTCCTCTCTTCTCTCTCTCTCTCGGCTATCTCTCTCTCTCCTCTCTCTCTCGGCTCTCTCTCTTCTCTCGGTCTCCTCTCTCTCTCGGCTCTCTCCTCTAGGCTCTTCTCTCTCTCTGGCTCTCTCTCTCTCTGGCTCTCTCTCTCTTCGCTCTCTCTCTCTCTCGGCTCTCTATCTCTCTCTCGGCTCTCTCTCTCTCTCGGCTCTCTCTCTCTCTCGGGCTCTCTTCTCTCTTCTCTCTCGGCATCTCTCTCTCCTCTCTCGGCTCTCTCTCTCTTGGCTCTCTCTCTCTCGGCTCTCTCTCTCTCTCTCGGCTCTCTCGCTCTCTCTCTCTGGGCCTCTCTCTCTCTATCGGCTCTCTCGCTCTCTCTCTATCGGCTCTCTCGGTCGGCTCTCTCTCTCTCGGCTCTCTCTCTCTCTCGGCTCTCTCTCTCTCTCTCGGCTCTCTCTCTCTCTCGGACTCTCTCTTTCTCTCTCTCTCTCGGCTCTCTCTCTCTCTCTCGGCTCTCTCTCTCTCTCTCTCGGGCTCTCTCTCCTCTCTCTCTCTCTCTCTCTCTCTCAGTGCTAGGTCTGGAGATGTTACCGGTGTGGGCTATAGCTCTGATCACGCTGGCGGGGGCTCTGGTCTGTGCTGTCGTGGTCTGGTTCGCCGTCTGCCCCTGGATGAGACGGAAGATAGCAAGTATGTATCACCATCGCAGCCCCCTGTCCCTGTCCCTGTCCCAGGCGAGCTCAGCACACAATGTGCCTCTCTGAAACTAAACAACCTCTGTGTTCTTTCATCTCCACTTGCCAAAGTAAAAGAAAATTAAACCCAGTAACCCACTAGATTACTGAACAGAGTAAGTTATCTAAGCTTCTTGTTGGTTAGGGAAATTAGGTATTTATTTGGGTCTGTTTCGTGGTTAAGGTTAGGGTTTTGTTTGGTGAAGGTTAGGGTTATGCATTTTTTTTTGTGGTTATGATTCGTTTTTTCGGGGGGGGTGATTATCAAATCAAATTTTATTGGTCGCATACACATTTAGCAGATGTTATTGCGGGTGTAGCGAAATGCTTGTGTTCCTAGCTCCAACAGTGCAGTAATATCTAACAATACACAGCAATACACATTTAATCTAAAAAAGTAAAATAATGGAATTAAGAAATATAGAAATATTAGGACGAGCAATGTCGGAGTCCGGAGTATAAATATATACATGGACAGTATATGGGTAGAATATGTAGTATATCTGTAGAATACGTAGGATATATAATAGTATATGCAGGGGCGGTGTGTTCATTAGGGCGATATGGGCGACGCACTGCCAAACGGGAAAAGGAAGGGATTGTTTTTCTAATCAATTATATCACGGCAACAGTAGTTATCAGTGTTCTAATCTAGACGTCTGATCTGCCACTAAATGTCCAATCAGGCTAAAGTCGTGCTTCAAATGGCCCCGCCCCTTTTGGGGCGATTTCAGTCAGGTTGAAAATCGCCCCAGAAGTCTCTCATAGACTCTCATGTAAAATCTTTTTTTTTTCAAATATCAGAGCTTTCAATATACAATCTCTATGGGTTCCGGGAGGGCTTGCACTTACGCGCTTTCGTCATACGTAACATAACCATGAACGTAACTAAGAAAAGAGCGGGTAGCAGCGTCAATCAATTCACGTACTACTGTCAAGATGGCTAGCGTTCAGTGCAACTCGGTTGTCTCTTTGAAAGAAGTTCCTTTTTGTCGGCGAACAAATCAAGATAAATTGGCAACGAAACAATTAGGAGCTCCCAGACCAAATTTAATAATTCAACAGGTTTCTACTAAAGGGGGAAAGTCCTACACCCGAGGATTTTCCAAAAATTGGTACGAACGAAAAACCTGGCTAGCAGGCTGCGATGTAGCTAATGCAGTCTTCTGCTACCCCTGCTTACTCTTTCACCCTGAAGGCGGCACGGCAGACAGCACCGCTTGGACAGCGACTGGTGTAACGGACATGCACCATCTTTCAGAAAAGATTAAGAAACATGAGCTGTCAAAGACCCACATGGATAGCTGTTTGAGATTGTCTGCTTTGGGGAGAGTGAACATTGCCACTCAACTGGATGAGGGATACAGGCTAGCTGTCCGCCGCCACAACGATGAGGTTAGCAAGAACCGCCACATCCTCAGCCGGCTAATCCAGTGTGTGAAGTTTTGCGGAGTGTTTGAGTTAGCTTTGCGAGGCAAAGATGAAACTGAGGGCTCCACCAACCCTGGTAAGCCAACACTTTTGAGATCAGTCAATAAATGCTTCTGGTATTGACTAATATGCTGCCCCTGTCTTCATGTTGTTGCTGGACATATCTTTTTTAAAATGTGTGTAGGTCACCTAAATCATCAGAAAAATTGCCCCCCCTGAGAATTTTTTCAGGAACCGCCACTGAGTATATGTACAGCAATAGTTGAATAGAATGCAGTATATACAGTTGAAGTCGGAAGTTTACATACACTCAGGTTGGAGTCATTAAAACTTGTTTTTCAACCACTCCACACATTTCTTGTTAACAAACTATAGTTTTGGCAAGTCGTTTAGGACATCTACTTTGTGCATGACACAAGTAATTTTTCCAACAATTGTTCACAGACAGATTATTTCACTTATAATTCACTGTATCACAATTCCAGTGGGTCAGAAGTTTACATACACTAAGTTGACTGTGCCTTTAAACAGCTTGGAAAATTCCAGATAATGATGTCATGGCTTTAGAAGCTTCTGATAGGCTAATTGACATAATTTGAGTCAATTGGAGGTGTACCTGTGGATGTATTTCAAGGCCTAATTTCAAACTCAGTGCCTCTTTGATTGACATCATGGGAAAATCAAAAATCAGCCAAGACCTCAGAAAAAAATGGTAGACCTCCACGAGTCTGGTTCATCCTTAGGAGCAATTTCCAAACGCCTGAAGGTACTACATTCATCTGTACAAACAATAGTACGCAAGTATAAACACCATGGGACCACACAGCCGTCATACCGCTCAGGAAGGAGACGCGTTCTGTCTCCTAGAGATGAACGTACTTTGGTGCGAAAAGTGCAAATCAATCCCAGAACAACAGCAAAGGACCTTGTGAAGATGCTGGAGGAAACAGGTACAAAAGTATCTATATCCACAGTAAAATAAGTTCTATATCGACATAACCTGAAAGGCCGCTCAGCAAGGAAGAAGCCACTGCTCCAAAACCGCCATAAAAAAGCCAGACTACGGTTTGCAACTGCACATGGGGACAAAGATCGTACTTTTTGGAGAAATGTCCTCTGGTCTGATGAAACAAAAGAGAACTGTTTGGCCATAATGACCATCGTTATGTTTGGAGGAAAAAGGGGAACGCTTGCAAGCCGAAGAACACCATCCCAACCGTGAAGCACGGGGGTGGCAGCATCATGCTGTGGGGGTGCTTTGCTGCAGGAGGGACTGGTGCACTTCACAAAATAGATGGCATCATGAGGAAGGGAAATGATGTGGATATATTGAAGCAACATCTCAAGACATCAGTCAGGAAGTTAAAGCTTGGTCGTAAATGGGTCTTCCAAATGGACAATGACCCCAAGCATACTTCCAAAGTTGTGGCAAAATGGCTTAAGGACAACAAAGTCAAGGTATTGGAGTGGCCATCACAAAGCCCTGACCTCAAACCTATAGAAAATGTGTGGGCAGAACTGAAAAAGCTTGTGCGAGCAAGGAGGCCTACACACCTGATTCAGTTACACCAGCTCTGTCAGGAGGAATGGGCCAAAATTCACCCAATTTATTGTGGGAAGCTTGTGGAAGGCTACCTGAAACTTTTGACCCAAGTTAAACAATTTAAAGGCAATGGTATCAAATACTAATTGAGTGTATGTAAACTTCTGACCCACTGGGAATGTGATGAAAGAAATAAAAGCTGAAATAAATCATTCTCTCATTCTTAAAATAAAGTGGTGATCCTAACTGACCTAAAACAGGGAATTTTTACTAGGATCAAATGTCAGGAATTGTGGAAAACTGAGTTTAAATGTATTTGGCTAAGGTGTATGTAAACTTCCGACTTCAACTGTACATATGAAATGGGTAAAACGGTATGTAAACCAGTGACCAGTGTTCCATGTCTATGTACATAGGGCAGCAGTCTCTAAGGTGCTGGGTGGAGTACTGGGTGGTAGCCGGCTCGTGACAGTGACTAAGGTTCAGGGCAGGGTACTGGACGGAGGCCGGTTAATGGTGACTATTTAACAGTCAGATGGCCTTGAGATAGAAGCTGTTTTTTCAGTCTCTCGGTCCCAGCTTAGATGCACCTGTACTGACCTCGCCTTCTGGATGGTAGCAGGGTGAACAGGCCATGGCTTGGGTGGCTGAGGTCCTTGATGATCTTTTTGGACTTCCTGTGACACTGGGTGCTGTAGATGTCCTGAAGGGCAGGCAGTGTGCCCCCGGTGATACGTTGGGAAGACCGCACCACCCTCCGGAGAGCCCTGCGGTTGCGGACGGTGCAGTTGCCATACCAGGCGGTGATACAGCCCGACAGGATGCTCTCAATGGTGCATCTGTAAAAGTTTGTGAGGGTTTTCGGTGCCAAACCAAATTTCTTCAGCCTCTTGAGGTTGAAGAGGCGCTGTTGCCCCTTCTTCACCGTACTGTCTGTGTGGTTGGACTATTTCAGATTGTCAGTGATGTGTACGCCAAGGAACTTGAAGCTTTTCACCTTCTCTACTGCAGCCCCGTCTATGTGGATGGAGACGTGCTCCCTCTGCTGTCTCCTGAAGTCCACGATCAGCTCCTTGGTTTTGTTGACGTTGAGGAAGAGGTCAGTTTCCTGGCACCACTCCGCCAGGGCCCTCACCTCCTCCCTGTAGGCTGTCTCGTCATTGTTGGTAATCAGGCCTACCACTGTTGTCGTCTTCAAAATTGATGATTGAGTTTGAGACATGCATGGCCACTTAGTCATGGGAGTACAGGAGGGAGCTGAGTACGCACCCTTGTGGGTTCCATTTTTACAGGCGAATATATTGATCAAAGTCACCTTGTCCTAGAGAGATCTACACGGTTATCAAAACATCATGCCAGGGTAAGCCTACAGGAAACGCAGCCCTTATTTTAAGTGTTTCTAAAATCCCCAGTGGGAAAAATGAATGGTGGAAAAATAATTTCCTTTGACTGCTAGGTTTTATGGGTATTATGACTCATACTGTGGTACTCTATAGGGTCTAGCGTGTTGGGTAAGGTGGAGGTGATATGATCCATAACTAGCCTCTCAAAGCACTTCATGATGACAGAAAAAGAGGGGGCTGGAGTGTCCATAAACACTGAGCCGTTGAATTGCGACTCCACTTTATCTCTGTACTGACATTTTGCCTGTTTGATTGCCTTACGGAGGGTTTGTATTCGACCATATTCCCAGTCACCTTGCCGCAAATGTTGCCATCTATCCACGGTTTTTGAAAAGGTTTTAATCGTCACGGTGGGAACAACATCCCCTATAGACTTCCTGGTGAACTCAGTCAGCGTGTCAGTGTATATGTCAATGTTATTCTGAGGCAACCCGGAACATCCCAGTCCGCGTGATCAAAACAATCTTCAGGTATGGATTCCGATTGGACAGACCAGCGTTGAACGGTCCTTACCACGGCTACTTCCTGTTTGAGTTCCTGCCTATAGGAAAGGAGGAGCAGAATGGAGGCGTGATCTGATTTTCCCAAGGGAGGGCGGGGAGTGCCTTGTAGCCTTCCCGGAAGGGAGAGTAGCAATGGTCAAGAGTTTTTGATGCGCAAGTAGTGTAGTAATATGTTGATTTGCTTTATTAAAGTCCCCAGCTACAATAAATGTGGCCTCAGGATATGCGGCTTCCAGTTTGCACAAAGTCCAGTGTAGTTCCTTGAGAGCCGTTGTGGTATCGGCTTGAGGGGGAATATACACTGCTGTGACGGTGACCGAAGAGAATTCTCTCGGGAGGTAATGATTGTGAGGTATCCTAGGTCGGGTGATCAAAAGGACTTGAGTTCCTGTACGTTACCACAATCACACCATGAGTAGTTCATCATGAAACACCTCCGCCTTTCTTTTTCCCAGAGAGTTCTTTATTCCTGTCTGCGCGATGTACTGAGAACCCAGCTGGCTGTATGGATGGGGAGAGAGACATGATTCTGTGAAACAGAGTATGTTACAGTCCCAGATGTCTCTCTGGAAGGAGATCCTCGCCCTGAGCTTGTCTACTTTATCGTCCAGGGACTGAATATTAGCAATGAAAATACTCTGAAGCTGTGGATGGTGTGCACGCCTCCTGAGTCGGTAAAAGTAAGTAAGTTAAGGTTAAGGTTTTGTTTGATGGTTAAGCTTAGGGTTTTGTTTCGTGGGGGGGTAGGGTTAGCACTTTATATAGTTGATTCTTGGACTTTTTTTAATGGGCCAGATATTGTGGTTTGGATGTTTTGAGAGAAAATAGTATCATAAGCAAGAGTCCAAGGTAGGGTTGAACGACTCCAGGATTTTTGGAGTCGACACCGACTCCTGTGGTTGGAGTCGAAGGAGTCGACTCTTGCTCGGTTCTCAAAACACGCTGAAACAGCTGTGCACACGTACACACTACCTCATTTATTGAGTCCTACTAGGAAGACTCATTTCGCGTTCTAGAGAGGACTGGCATGGTCATGATTCTGCCCATTTGCTTATCAACTCATGAAAGGCCTATTTTGTTTGAATACAGAGTAGAAGGTGATGTGTAGAATATTTCAGTGATATTTCTGCTGAACCTTGACAGATCCCATGACTATGCGCCGGTAAAGCTATTCTTTGCCGTATTATTACAGACCTATTCAGACGGGACTAGCATTACTAGAGACGTTGGTTATGTAATTATTTTCCAAGCATGTGCGTTATTCCAGAGGACGGTTAACACAGGATTCGTTTTTTTTCCCAAAACTGCCCCCTGTAATTTCATCCAATTGACTCTACGCCTGGGTAGTGGAGGTTTTTATTCTAGGCGTGAAGATATAACGTCACGTTTAGACGATTTCAGGCTACACATAACTCGTGCTTGGCTGCCGAATGTATTAGCTGTCCCAATAATATATACCGCACAACAACACATATTCCCCCTCAGGAGACTGAAAAGATTTGGCATGGGTCCTCAGATCCTCAAAGAGTTATACAGCTGCACCATCGAGAGCATCCTGACCGGTTGCATCACCGCCTGGTATGGCAACTGCTCGGCCTACGACCGCAAAGCACTACAGAGGGTAGTGCGTACGGCCCAGTACATCACTGGGGCCAAGCTTCCTGCCATCCAGGACCTCTATACCAGGCGGTGTCAGAGGAAGGCCCTCAAAATTGTCAAAGACTCCAGCCACCCTAGTCATAGACTGTTCTCTCTGCTACCGCACGGCAAGCGGTACCGGAGCGCCAAGTCTAGGTCCAAAAGACTTCTCAACAGCTTCTATCCCCCAAGCCATAAGACTCCTGAACAGCTAATCATGGCTACCCGGACTATTTGCACTGCCCCCCCACCCCATCCTTTTACGCTGCTGCGACTCTGTTAATTATTTATGCATAGTCACTTTAACTCTGCCCACATGTACATATTACTTCAACTACCTCAACTAGCCGGTGCCCCCGCACATTGACTCTGCACCGGTACCCCCCTGTATATAGCCTCCCTACTGTTATTTTATTTAACTTCTGCTCTGTCCCAATAATATATACATTGAGGAAGTGTGATCATAAGCATTATTTTAGCATTCCATGGTAGACGCCCCTCCTAATAACAATACCCCCCGCCCCCCCCCCATCCTGATTTGAGCTGCTGGACAGTATTTGCACTTGAAATGCATTCATGGATGAGAAAGTGAACTTGCCATTTCCAAAAAGTTAAGCTCAGTGGGGAACCATGCTTTGATATATTGTCTATAGGACATCAAGAGCCCCAGGGTTTCATTTAAGCTATAGGCACAATACGTTCTCTTGCACATTTAGGCCTAATTAAACTGACGCATTTGGCGATGTTCAACTTCAATTCACTGGCACAATATAGAATAGCTTAGCCATAGGCCTACTCTTTTGATGGTAAACTATACTTTAAGATACTTTTGGTGAATTTACGAGGCATTGCAAGACAAGACATTGCGAGATATAGATATAGCCTATGCGCACGGTTCCGAATGTCTGCCTGCCTGCCCCTCCTCTCTCTCCCTCGCCTGCTCTTTCTCTTCACTGTGAAAGATGCCTGTGTGTGTTCAGTCCTCGGTCTATTGCATGTTTGTAGCTCAGCCTACTCATTGATAACCCCTACCTTAGTGAACTTGCGAGGCATTGAAAGCCAGGAAATTGAGAGATACAGCATTGCGAGATACAACTTTTGATTACCGATGCACGGCTCTGACTGTCTGCCTGGTGGCCGACCTGCCTGCCTGCCTGATGGCCGACCTGCCTGCCTGCCTGATGGCCGACCTGCCTGCCTGCCTGGTGGCCGACCTGCCTGCCTGCCTGGTGGCCGACCTGCCTGGTGGCCGACCTGCCTGCCTGCCTGGTGGCCGACCTGCCTGTCTACCTGGTGGCCGACCTGCCTGCCTGCCTGCCTGGTGGCCGACCTGCCTGTCTACCTGGTGGCCGACCTGCCTGCCTGCCTGGCTGTGCCCCTTCCCTCTCTTCTTTGCTTGGAAAGATACAAGAGTTTGTGTTTCTCGGAAGTAGCCTAGGGCAACTACCCTACTCTGTCTCCTCCGTTGCAGAAATACTGAATCTTAGGAGTCAAGGAGTCGATTCCTAGCGGAATCGACACTTGACACCCAGAAATGGGAGTCGACGGGCAATGAGTCGAGGGATCTATTATTTTGGAGTCGACTCCCCACCAATAGTCCAAGGATCCTATTCAGAGATACGCATATAAAGTTTGGTTTGTGCTCAGATTAGGTAGATATGTATCTGGTTGGTATGTTCAGAAGGGTAAAGTAAGCCTCCAGTTTGAAATATGTAATCCTTGTTTAGCTCCATGAACTCTGAGCGTAATACCGTAGTCCAGTGGGTGTCATTGCACTAGATAGTCCTGGGGTCTCTCTGTTTAACTGTATTCTTCCACTGTGTATCATTGGACTAGGGAGTACTGGGGTCCCTCTGTTTCAGACTGTATTTTTTTCACTTTGCGCCTACTGAACACGACCGGGGTCTGAGACAGCTCTCTAGACTAGAGGGTATCAGTGAACACGACCGGGGTCTGAGACAGCTCTCTAGGCTAGAGGGTATCACTGAACACGACCGGGGTCTGAGACAGCTCTCTAGACTAGAGGGTATCACTGAACACGACCGGGGTCTGAGACAGCTCTCTAGGCTAGAGGGTATCACTGAACACGACCGGGGTCTGAGACGGCTCTCTAGGCTAGAGGGTATCAGTGAACACGACCGGGGTCTGAGACAGCTCTCTAGGCTAGAGGGTGTCACTGAACACGACCGGGGTCTGAGACAGCTCTCTAGGCTAGAGGGTATCACTGAACACGACCGGGGTCTGAGACAGCTCTCTAGGCTAGAGGGTATCACTGAACACGACCGGGGTCTGAGACAGCTCTCTAGGCTAGAGGGTATCACTGAACACGACCGGGGTCTGAGACAGCTCTCTAGGCTAGAGGGTATCACTGAACACGACCGGGGTCTGAGACAGCTCTCTAGGCTAGAGGGTATCAGTGAAGCTGGCCTAAGAGCGAGCTCTCTAGAATTCAGTTGACAGTGGTAGAGAGTTGGGCCAACTTGTAGAATTCTGAATAATGTTCTAATTCTAGACATTCAGTAAGATAGCATTGTTTAAATATTCCCCTCGTAATGTTAATGGGGCGCTAACATGACTGCCATAGAAGGCTGTAGTTTCATGTAAATGTATCATAATGCAGAAACCTCAATGTCTCAACTCTCAAAACACACGGCTCTGGTTTGCAGGTGTAATTCGGTCCTAATGTGAGTGTTGCTGTTCGCCTGCTGACGTCAAGTTCAAACACACACACACCGCTGCCTTCAGAGTCAAACTGTTGCTGATTGAGGGAGTGAGTGGTTGCTAAGCGCTTTCTAAATGTTAGGATTAGGTTTCTCTCTCCCAGGATCAGCTGACAGCTACATAACATTCCACTAACAGGAACATAGAGGAGATGTCCCACTGCTCTGTCCACAAGCGGAACAAAACAACATCAACACAACACACAGACAGATGCTGTGTCAAACACAACACACTTCTGCCCACAAACCGTATGTGTGTGTTTATACTGTGTGTGAAATATAACCTTTCCGCTTGTCTCTAAAAATGTACTTACTATGACTGTGATATGTGGTTGTCCCACCTAGCTATCTTCAGATGAATGCACTAACTGTGATATGTGGTTGTCCCACCTAGCTATCTTCAGATGAACGCACTAACTGTGATATGTGGTTGTCCCACCTAGCTATCTTCAGATGAATGCACTAACTGTGATATGTGGTTGTCCCACCTAGCTATCTTCAGATGAATGCACTAACTGTGAGTGGCTCTGGATAAGAGCGTCTGCTAAATGACTAACATGTCAAATGATATACTAGACGTATATTTCTGCGTGCTTGCGTGGGAACACGTGCGCACATATCATAACAGTGTGTAAATGTCAATCAAGCCATGAACTTTCTCAACCTTCAGTCTCTTGACCGTCCATATAATCATGATGATTAATGTTTTTAAATTGCTTGTTTTTGTTGTTGTTGCTTTAGAGCACTTTGAGAGTTGACAGATTGATGTAGCCTTGTCGCGGTTCTCAGACGAGTCGCTACTGTATGTGTGTATGTTTGTGTAACAGTATTGTCACCGTCCCCCCCCGGTCAGGTAGAATAAAGAAGGAGCGAGCTGCCCTGTCCAGGATCTCAGACGAGTCCTTAGATCAGATTCCCGAGGAGGAAGAGGAGGAGCTTCCCGTGTTCAAGGAGCTACCGGGCGCCAAGGGGACGGACGACGCCGTGCTGCCGTTAACAGGTGGTAGCGGAGGAGAGTCACGGAGAGGAGAGGCCACCGGAGAGCTCAACATCCTGGCAAATGGAGGCACTGTTCTGCCCAACGGACGCGTCTATGGTCAGTCCCATATGGAGACGTGATAAATCGTCGTGTACGGGTAACTGCCAGAATAAAAGAAACGCCAACATAAAGCGTCTTAATTGGGCGTTGGTCCACCACGAGCTGCCAGAGCAGCTTCAATGTGCCTTGGTATAGATTCTCCAAGTGTCTGGAACTCTATTGGAGGGATGCGACACCATTCTTTTCATGAGCCATTCCATAATTTGGTGTTTTTGTTGATGGTGGTGAAAAACATTGTCTCAGGCGCAGCTCCAGAAATCTCCCATCAGTGTTCAATTGGGTTGAGATCTGGTGACTGACACACACACACACACACACACACACACACACACACACACACACACACACACAACTGGGCATTTTATTAAAAAAATATATTGCTTAATTAACTCAGGAACCACACCTGTGTGAAAGCGCCTGCTTTCAAAATATTTTGTATCCCTCATTTACTAAAGGCTTTCCTTTATTTTGGCAGTTACCTGTACATATATTACTTCTATGTTTTATATGTCCATATATGGTTATATATGTATCCACACATAATTACATATAAGTACATACAGTTGGGTTTGAAATTATTGACACCCTTGATAAAGATGAGTGAAAAATAACTGTATAAAATAAATAATTCAAATACTGAGATACACTACATGGCCAAAAGTATGTGGACACCTGCTTGTCGAACATCTCATTCCAAAATCATGGGCATTAATATGGAGTTGCCCCCCCCCCCCCCTTTTGCTGCTATAACAGCCTCCACTCTTCTGGGAAGGCTTTCCACTAGATGTTGGAACATTGCTGCGGGAACTTGATCCATTCAGCCACAAGAGCATAAGTGAGGTCTGGCACTGATGTTGGGCGATGAGGCCTGGCTCACAGTTGTTTGTTCCAATTCATCCCAAAGGTGTTAGATGGGGTTGAGGTCAGGGCTCTGTGCAGGCAAGTATGCGTTTGTACTTGCCTTTAACCGAAGCGTCAAATCGGTACAGGTCTAAAAGTTCACAAGCAACGTTATTCAATTCAAAATGTTGGCTAGATATTTCAACTCTGTATGGCAAGCGTGAATTTCTGACTGAAGACGTTTGAGGCTGCTTTGAGCCAAACGCTCGTTCTAGTTATGTTAACAGTCTAATCACATCACATTGTTTTTGGCGAGACGGCGTGGTATCGACAATCCTCACGACCAAGTGAACAATCTTGTAGTGTGTCGTTGGTGAGAGGCTCAGCGATGTTTAGGATTTTGAAAGTCGTGTAGTGTACACCCTATGGGAAAGGACATTAGCTAGCTACCCTACTACCTTCACAACCAAGAGGACACAGAGGAACAGTTTAGGTAAGTGTCCCTTTCTTTTTGTCTTGTAATTTCACATTTAGAAGGTGCATTGAAACAATTACGTAGCATGATTATATCATTTCTAGCACAGCCAAATAGCTAGCTAGCAAGCTATATAAATAAATGATCACTATGGTAGTTAGCTATGGCTATTCTCAAGAACTGAGAAGCATGTCTGTCTGACCGAGCATTCTACTCATTGCATTGTCAATGAGCGCTGATTTCATCAAAATTTCATTACAGTGGCTTGGAAATACAAAAGACATTGCAAAAGGAGGAGAATAATTAGTAGGAAAAGCCATTTGTCATCATTTTGATGTAGCCAGCTTGACTTTAGATGCAGTATAACGTTAGCTAGCTAGCTAGCTAAGATGGAGGGGAGACCATCGGATTTTAGCTAGGTAACATTAGCATCGCTAGCTATTTTTTTATTAACTTTGCTAGCCAATGACAACATTGCCATCCATTTGACGACATGATAATGATGGCAAAGTTGTTTCCTACTAAACATTTGCCTACTTTAGCGATGTCGTTATATTTCCAGGCAACTATAGTGTTATTTATACGAAACAGTCGTTGTCCTCCATCTATCACAACTTTTGGGCACTATGCGACTTGAGAACGTTTATAACAATTGGGAGGTGCAACCTATAAATAACAATATTTGCTGAGCATTTCTCTATTTTGCCCAGCTCTGACTGTGGGTGTCTGTCTGTCTGACTGCCAGCGTGTCTGTCTGTCTTGATGTTCCAGATGTGGCTGGAGGAGTTGTGGTGGCCCACTGGAGGTCAACTTTAATACTGGAGCACATTTAGGAGGAGCTCATCGTCATGAAGTTAATCTATAACAGCTAATACAAGTATCCTATATTAGGGTACTACCACAGTGCTAGCTAGCTAGTACATGTACATATGGATTTACAGTACTAATCGTATTTCATTAATGTACAGGGTCCACTTTGACCCAAGAGAACAATCTAGACTAAGAATTTTAATACTCATAATGAACACTAGTATTATATGGACAGAGTGGAGCTCTCTCATCCTGTCTATAACTTCAGATTGATTAGTAGATGTGGGTGAGTGGACATACTGTACAGATCTGGGCGTAGCCAGGCAACAGCATCTCTTTTTAGCAAGGATTTATATTGACATCCAATCACCATGAGAGATGCTTTATTCTACATTCAACACTTATTATATTGCAGGAGAGGTGAGCACCTATCAGATCCCCCTGCAGTCTGCTGACCCTCGCTGAGGCCCGGGAGGAAGTCTGCCAGCAGAAGAAGGAGCCAAGTTCATCGCCATGCAACGCTCTACTGACCTAGGTAGATTATGCTTTGAGTAGCGACTGCCTGACTGACTGCCTGACTGACTGACTGACTGACTGCCTGACTGACTGCCTGACTGACTGCCTGACTGACTGCCTGACTGACTGCCTGACTGCCTGACTGACTGCCTGACTGCCTGCCTGACTGCCTGACTGACTGCCTGCCTGCCTGACTGACTGCCTGCCTGACTGGCAGTTATGCAGGCAGAGACACACACACTCACATTTGACTTGACCTTATATTGACAGCGCTCTACTCACAGATACCCCCCCCCTTTCCCTTTCCTTCCCATAAATCTCTCCCTGTCTACACCCTAGGTGCCACGTGGTCTCCCGTCTCCTCCACAGTGGCCTCAGCTGGACCGTACCACATTAACCTCTTGGTCTAGCCAGACGAATGAAGAGCTTCACTCCGGCCCTGCTTCCCGGTGGGTCACAGTCACACTCCCCTTTGCTTCCACCCACCTCAATTAGGGGCACATTCTTCTTGAGGCGTTGATATTACTTTTTGAAATTAAATGTTATCATGGTCGGTTGACTTACAATAGTGAATGATTTATATTCCCTCATGGGTCAGCACCAGTGACTGTAAGGGGGGGGGCCTGTTGACGGATTAGAAGTTTACAGAAGTTATTTTTGGAATAAATTATTTTAGTTTAGGATTCATCTAATCCTGACCTGACAGCGTGCCTTTCAACTAATCTATTTTGTTTTCCCAACCCTCAGCAGGCTATGGGAAGGGAGTGGATCACCTGACCAAGGCTATGGGAAGGGAGTGGATCACCTGACCAAGGCTATGGGAAGGGAGTGGGTCACCTGACCAAGGCTATGGGAAGGGAGTGGGTCACCTGACCAAGGCTATGGGAAGGGAGTGGGTCACCTGACCAGGGCTATGGGAAGGGAGTGGGTCACCTGACCAGGGCTATGGGAAGGGAGTGGGTCACCTGACCAAGGCTATGGGAAGGGAGTGGGTCACCTGACCAAGGCTATGGGAAGGGAGTGGGTCACCTGACCAAGGCTATGGGAAGGGAGTGGATCACCTGACCAAGGCTATGGGAAGGGAGTGGGTCACCTGACCAAGGCTATGGGAAGGGAGTGGGTCACCTGACCAAGGCTATGGGAAGGGAGTGGGTCACCTGACCAGGGCTATGGGAAGGGAGTGGGTCACCTGACCAGCAGCTCCTCTGGGTGCTCTAGCAGATTGTTAGATTAATTTGTATTTTAAGAATAATGACTAAAGGATTTCACCCCAAATACAGTATAAATGTGTGAACGGTGTTAAGAGTTATAATGTAGTGTCAACCCACTAACAGAGGGGGCGGGACTAAACATTCCAGGGTGAAGGGGACTGAGAAAACGGGTTTTAAAAAAAGCCTCCTAAAGGTGGGCGGAGCAAAGTGCCTTTGTGTGTCAAGGGGTATAATGTATGTATGTTTTTTGGCGCCAGAGCTCTCCATGAATAAAAATACAGATCATTCTTGCTGGTTGTGGACCTTGAATCATTTATGATTAAAACCAGAGCCTTACAACCCCTGGTAATGATTCAAGCTTAGGTTGAATTAGAGAGAGAAATTCTCGTGACACAGATCTTCCCCTGTCTGTTAGATCCTGCTGAAACCGTCCCCTGTCAGCCAGGTGAGGATGCTCTCTCATGGAAAGGAAAGGGATGTTGTGGCACCAAAATGGCTGAAAGTTGCCTCATGGAAAGGAAAGGGGATGTTGTGGCACCAAAATGGCTGAAAGTTGCCTCATGGAAAGGAAAGGGATGTTGTGGCACCAAAATGGCTGAAAGTTGCCTCATGGAAAGGAAAGGGCTGTTATGGCACCAAAATGGTTGAAAGTTGCCTGAAAGTTTAATTTACCCCAGAAAATATTAGCGCATTAAAATGACAACTATGGACAAGACTATTTTAAGGCAAGCCATGTTTTCCTGTCATCCAGATTCTGCAAGACATTCAAGTGCTAAGTTAGGATCCTCCTCATCCCCACTATGCTATTATACAGTTTAGCCCAGTTCTGGCACTCTCCCTACATGTCATTTGCCCCTACTTTATCATGATGTGTATCCTAATTGATGTGCTTTTTATATGATGTGTATCCTAATTGATGTGCTTGTATCTCCCTGCTAGAAACCACAAACCTTCCTTCCTACCACAACCGTCCTACAGGACTCAACTCCAACTACTGCGCCTCCACTCCAACCAACAGTGTTTAATTGTCTGAACAGTTTAACCACCGTCCTCCTATGATTGGAGCATCCTACTTAACTACTGTTTCTCTCTCCTTTGCAGTTCACACCCCTCCGCCTCTTTGTAACCTTTGTCCACCTGTATTTGGGGTTGAGCACCTCTGTTAGGGCAGTGCAGGGAGCAAGAGGCTGTCCGTGCCGTTGGTCCAAACTGCAGATGCCTGAGCTGTGGAGCTCTGGTTGGAGCTAGCTCCTAGTGGCGTCCGTCCTAACATAGTTTGCCTTGCATTCACGATTGTCGGAGTTTGCCCCGGGTGAAATGTGATTGCATTCATTTTGGAACCGCCTCCCGGGCGTGAGCCAGGTGCCCCATTCAAAGCCCGTGGCAATGTCGGCTCAAAACAAAAGTGATGTAGCCTAGGCGAAATTAAGCACGTGGAGTAATGAGTAGGATTCTGTGTTTTTACATGCAAAAGTGATTTGCTTTTGATAAACACTTTCTGCCTTCCCAATGAAAACTAGTTTGAAAATGTTAACATACATTTTATTGAATGATGCACCATGCTCCTTGTTGACAACATGGCCGAGCGGCACAGATTACTGTTCGATTTGAGAAGGGCGCTCCTCCCTCACCAATTTTGCCCGTTCACATCACAGGCCATAGACCGGTGCACCGCGGCAACAAGTGGATGTCCCAACTCCTCCCTTTCCGCTATGCCAAACTGGCGTTCTTTACGTACAGACGTGTAATCCGGAACGTTGGTACAACCCGTTGGACTAGAGAGAGATTACCATATCCGGAACGTTGGTACAACCCGTTGGACTAGAGAGAGATTACCATATCCGGAACGTTGGACTAGAGAGAGATTACCATATCCGGAACGTTGGTACAACCCGTTGGTCTAGAGAGAGATTACCATATCCGGAACGTTGGTACAACCCGTTGGTCTAGAGAGAGATTACCATATCCGGAACGTTGGTACAACCCGTTGGTCTAGAGAGAGATTACCATATCCGGAACGTTGGTACAACCCGTTGGACTAGAGAGAGATTACCATATCCGGAACGTTGGTACAACCCGTTGGACTAGAGAGAGATTACCATATCCGGAACGTTGGTACAACCCGTTGGACTAGAGAGAGATTACCATATCCGGAACGTTGGTACAACCCGTTGGTCTAGAGAGAGATTACCATATCCGGAACGTTGGTACAACCCGTTGGTCTAGAGAGAGATTACCATATCCGGAACGTTGGTACAACCCGTTGGACTAGAGAGAGATTACCATCCGGGTATTATTGATTAATGACTGTTAGTACTGGCTAACAAACAAAGTGCCTGTGGTTTTAATCTTGTAATTTAGAGAAACTTGTAATAAAATTATATTTTTTTGATAATGTGTCGTCTGGTCCATTGTAATGCTCAGAACTCATGATCCGAACTCAAAAGGTGGCCTGTCACGAACCGGTCTTCCTATGGTTGAAGTGTCCCCCCCCTCAGTAAACAGGAACTGCCGTAGTCTGGCAGTTGTGCCATTTCAGGTAGCCCTATAGGCGGCAGATGTAAGTCATATGGCCAATAATATATTCTGTAAATATCACTACAATACAGAAATGTACTTGCTCTTCAGTGAAGTTCTGTCAATCTTATGTTGGAAACCATATTCACGGAAACCTAGTTGCACACAACTAAAATTGTAACACCAGTGCCTTTTTAGGACAAGAATAACTGTGTAACCTTTAGGACAATTAATGCTATACTGAGCACTTGTTGGCTGCTTTTCCTTCACTCTGCCTTCCGACTCATCCCAAACCATCTCAATTTGGTTGAGGTCGGGGGATTGTGGAGGGCAGGTCATTTGATGCAGCACTCCATCACTCTCCTTCTTGGTCAAATAGCCCTTACACAGCCTGGAGGTGTGTTGGGTCATTGTCCTGTTGAAAAACAGATTATAGTCCCACTAAGCCCAAACCAGATGGGATGCCGTATCACTGCAGAATGCTGTGGTAGCCATGCTGGTTAAGTGTGCCTTGAATTCTAAATAAATCACAGTGTCACCAGAAAAGCAACCCCACACCATCACACCACCTCCTTCATGCTTTACGGTGGGAAATATTCACCCCCCCCCCCCCCCCCAAGACAATACTTTGTAGAGCCACAATTACAGCTGCAAGTCTCTTGGGGTATGTCTCTATAAGCTTGGCACATCTAGCCACTGGGATTTTTGACCGTTCTTCAAGGCAAAACTGCTCCAGCTCCTTCAAGTTGGATGGGTTCCACTGGTGTACAGCATTCTTTAAGTCATACCACAGATTCTCAATTGGATTGAGGTCTGGGCTTTGACTAGGCCATTCCAAGACATTTAAATGTTTCCCCTTAAACCACTCAAGTGTTGCTTTAGCAGTATGCTTAGGGTCATTGTCCTGCTGGAAGGTAAACCTCCGTCCCAGTCTCAAATCTCTGGAACTGAAACAGGTTTCCCTCAAGAATTACAGAGAGATCCTTTATGAAAACCTGCTCCAGAGCATTCAGGACCTAAGACTGGGGCGAAGGTTCACCTCCCAACAGGACAACAACCCTAAGCACACAGCCAAGACAATGCAGGAGTGGCTTTGGGACAAGTCTCTGAATGTCCATGAGTGGCCCAGACAGAGCCCGAACTTGAACCCGATCTAACATCGCTGGAGAGACCTGAAAATAGCTGTGCAGTGACTCTCCCCATCGAACATGACAGAGCTTGAGAGGATCTGCAGAGAAGAACGGGAGAAACTCCCCAAATACAGGTGTGCCAAGCTTGTAGTGTCATACCCAAGAAGACTCGAGGCTGTAATTGCTGCCAAAGGTGCTTCAACAAAGTACTGAGTAAAGGGTCTGAATACTTATGTAAATGTAATATTTCAGTGTTTTACTTTTAATAAATTGGCAACAATTTCTAAAAACCTGTTTTTGCTTTGTTATTATGGGTTATTGTGTGTAGATTGATGAGGGGGAAAAAAACAATTAATCAATTCTAGAATAAGGCTGTATCCTACCAAAATGTGGAGAAAGTCAAGGGGTCTGAATACTTTCCGAAGGCACTGTACGTTACTCTCAAGTTATTGGCTCTTTCCAGAACAGCTACCTTGTCCTTGAACCTCAGGAACTTGACCACTATCGGCCTGGGCCTATGACCTGGGCCAGTGGTGAGTTTTCCAGTCCTGTTGGCGCGCTCCACCTCAATCTTCCTGTGCTCCATCTTCAGTTTCTACAAGATTATTTCCCTCACTTTGTCCTCAGACTCCGTCCAGGTCTCGTGGAGATTCTGCAATTCCGTCCACAACCATGTTGTTCCGCCTTGAGATAACAATGACGGAGAAATCAGATTATCAGAAATAGGATTAACGTACAGAACTGATTTCCTCGCTCAATGACTTACAGATTGTCATATTGCCGTTCTCCTGTTTAATCTCATCGAGCTGACCCTGGGAGAACTGCAAACTGTTCTTCAGGTCCTGAAACACTCTGGTCAGGTTTTCCACTCTTTTATTAGTTGACTCCTCCAGTATTTGGACAAAACACTTCAAGCTATTTTGTTGTTGTTGTAACAACTGCTTGTAGAACTCTTTTTGTTCTTTTAAAAGATCCTTCACCTGTGATAGAGAGACACCACTGTCCTCAGTGGTACTCCTGTTAGCTTTGGTCTCTGTCATGGTAACAATGTAGATTTACTCCTCACAGTTCCAGATAGGGCAGGTCGCAGGGAAGTTTGACGACAACAAACAGCAAGGGTCTAGACAGCCAGAAACCCGTGATAATCCGCGGTCCCAGCCACAATGGCTAACCGTATCGCTTGCTGCGTTCACACCCTCAAGAAAACCTCAGCTAGCTAGGACCTAGGCTAGCTGCCACGCCAAGCAGCTCCTCGGACCCTTGGTCGGCAGGATCCCTGGACAGATAGTAGCGGTCCCCCTTGGTCGGCAGGATCCCTGGACAGATAGTAGCGGTCCCCCTTGGTCGGCAGGATCCCTGGACAGATAGTAGCGGGTCCCCCTTGGTCGGCAGGATCCCTGGACAGATAGTAGCGGTCCCCCTTGGTCGGCAGGATCCCTGGACAGATAGTAGCGGTCCCCCTTGGTCGGCAGGATCCCTGGACAGATAGTAGCGGTCCCCCTTGGTCGGCAGGATCCCTGGACAGATAGTAGCGGGTCCCCTTGGTCGGCAGGATCCCTGGACAGATAGTAGCGGTCCCCCTTGGTCGGCAGGATCCCTGGACAGATAGTAGCGGTCCCCCTTGGTCGGCAGGATCCCTGGACAGATAGTAGCGGTCCCCCTTGGTCGCAGGATCCCTGGACAGATAGTAGCGGTCCCCCTTGGTCGGCAGGATCCCTGGACAGATAGTAGCGGTCCCCCTTGGTCGGCAGGATCCCTGGACAGATAGTAGCGGTCCCCCTTGGTCGGCAGGATCCCTGGACAGATAGTAGCGGTCCCCCTTGGTCGGCAGGATCCCTGGACAGATAGTAGCGGTCCCCCTTGGTCGGCAGGATCCCTGGACAGATAGTAGCGGTCCCCCTTGGTCGGCAGGATCCCTGGACAGATAGTAGCGGTCCCCCTTGGTCGGCAGGATCCCTGGACAGATAGTAGCGGTCCCCCTGGTCGGCAGGATCCCTGGACAGATAGTACGGTCCCCCTTGGTCGGCAGGATCCCTGGACAGTAGGCCCGGATTAGAGCGGTCCCCCTTGGTCGGCAGGATCCCTGGACAGATAGTAGCGGTCCCCCTTGGTCGGCAGGATCCCTGGACAGATAGTAGCGGTCCCCCTTGGTCGGCAGGATCCCTGGACCAGATAGTAGCGGTCCCCTTGGTCGGCAGGATCCCTGGACAGATAGTAGCGGTCCCCCTTGGTCGGCAGGATCCCTGGACAGATAGTAGCGGTCCCCCTTGGTCGGCAGGATCCCTGGACAGATAGTAGCGGTCCCCCTTGGTCGGCAGGATCCCTGGACAGATAGTAGCGGTCCCCCTTGGTCGGCAGGATCCCTGGACAGATAGTAGCGGTCCCCCTTGGTCGGCAGGATCCCTGGACAGATAGTAGCGGTCCCCCTTGGTCGGCAGGATCCCTGGACAGATAGTAGCGGTCCCCCTTGGTCGGCAGGATCCCTGGACAGATAGTAGCGGTCCCCCTTGGTCGGCCAGGATCCCTGGACAGATAGTAGCGGTCCCCCTTGGTCGGCAGGATCCCTGGACAGATAGTAGCGGTCCCCCTTGGTCGGCAGGATCCCTGGACAGATAGTAGCGGTCCCCCTTGGTCGGCAGGATCCCTGGACAGATAGTAGCGGTCCCCCTTGGTCGGCAGGATCCCTGGACAGATAGTAGCGGTCCCCCTTGGTCGGCAGATCCCTGGACAGATAGTAGCGGTCCCCCTGGTCGGCAGGATCCCTGGACAGATAGTAGCGGTCCCCCTTGGTCGGGCAGGATCCCTGGACAGATAGTAGCCGGTCCCCCTTGGTCGGCAGGATCCCTGGACAGATAGTAGCGGTCCCCCTTGGTCGCAGGATCCCTGGACAGATAGTAGCGGTCCCCCTTGGTCGGCAGGATCCCTGGACAGATAGTAGCGGTCCCCCCTTGGTCGGCAGGATCCCTGGACAGATAGTAGCGGTCCCCCTTGGTCGGCAGGATCCCTGGACAGATAGTAGCGGTCCCCCTTGGTCGGCAGGATCCCTGGACAGATAGTAGCGGTCCCAGTAACTGATGCTAACTGATGCTAACCGCGTCAGGGGATACAAACTCAAACGGTAGCTAGCTACTTTTCCAATGGACTTTCAAAACAAACCGAGCTCTCCCTCGTTCCGCATGTGACAGGAAGCGACGACAGGAAGTGACTATGAAGTAGATGGGTGACCACCTGGCAGCCAGGGTTTACACAGGAGATGAATGAGAGGGGAAGCGGTATCTGTGCGAGTGCTGTCAATATAAGGTCAAGACAAATGTGAGTGTGTCTCTGACTGCCAGTCAGTCAGTCAGTCTGTTGCTAAATAAAGCATAATCTACCTAGGTCAGTAGAGCGTTGCATGGCGATGAACTTTGCTCCTTCTTCTGCTGGCAGACTTCCTCCCGGGCCTCAGCGAGGGTCAGCAGACTGCGCTGAGGAGAGAAGGACAGCAGAGGGATCTCCTGCAACAGAAGTGTTGAATGTAGAATAAAGCATCAATCAAATAAATATTTGCCAATAGTTGAGAGAGTCCAGATCTGTATGTCTACTGGATCTACTAATTATAGACCAGGGGGTCAATCTGAAGTTATAGACTGGATGAGTGAGAGAGAGAATTCGTCAAACTGTCAAACACATGAACTGTGTCAAATTGTCAAACGCATGAACCGTGTCAAACACCTGAACCGTGTCAAACACCTGAACCGTGTCAAACACCTGAACAGTGTCAAACACATTTTTCCAAATCAAATGAGCTCGAATAATGACAGCAATAAATTGCTAAAATAGAGACGTGTTCTAATTGAGCGAGGCAGACAAAACAACGGAGAAAACAATGCATTCTCATGCCTGCACGCTGGTGTTGTTTTACAGGGTCAGCCATAGTAGTATGATAGGTGTTGTTTTACAGGGTCAGCCATAGTAGTATGATAGGTGTTGTTTTACAGGGTCAGCCATAGTAGTATGATAGGTGTTGTTTTACAGGGTCAGCCATAGTAGTATGATAGGTGTTGTTTTACAGGGTCAGCCATAGTAGTAGGATAGGTGTTGTTTTACAGGGTCAGCCATAGTAGTATGATAGGTGTTGTTTTACAGGGTCAGCCATAGTAGTATGATAGGTGTTGTTTTTACAGGGTCAGCCATAGTAGTATGATAGGTGTTGTTTTTACAGGGTCAGCCATAGTAGTATGATATGTGTTGTTTTTACAGGGTCAGCCATAGTAGTATGATAGGTGTTGTTTTACAGGGTCAGCCATAGTAGTATGATAGGTGTTGTTTTACAGGGTCAGCCATAGTAGTATGATAGGTGTTGTTTTACAGGGTCAGCCATAGTAGTATGATAGGTGTTGTTTTACAGGGTCAGCCATAGTAGTATGATAGGTGTTGTTTTACAGGGTCAGCCATAGTAGTAGGATAGGTGTTGTTTTTACAGGGTCAGCCATAGTAGTATGATAGGTGTTGTTTTACAGGGTCAGCCATAGTAGTATGATAGGTGTTGTTTTACAGGGTCAGCCATAGTAGTATGATAGGTGTTGTTTTACAGGGTCAGCCATAGTAGTATGATATGTGTTGTTTTACAGGGTCAGCCATAGTAGTATGATAGGTGTTGTTTTACAGGGTCAGCCATAGTAGTATGATAGGTGTTGTTTTACAGGGTCAGCCATAGTAGTATGATAGGTGTTGTTTTACAGGGTCAGCCAATAGTAGTATGATAGGTGTTGTTTTACAGGGTCAGCCATAGTAGTATGATAGGTGTTGTTTTACAGGGTCAGCCATATTAGTATGATAGGTGTTGTTTTACAGGGTCAGCCATAGTAGTATGATAGGTGTTGTTTTTACAGGGTCAGCCATAGTAGTATGATAGGTGTTGTTTTACAGGGTCAGCCATATTAGTATGATAGGTGTTGTTTTACAGGGTCAGCCATATTAGTATGATAGGTGTTGTTTTACAGGGTCAGCCATAGTAGTATGATATGTGTTGTTTTACAGGGTCAGCCATAGTAGTATGATAGGTGTTGTTTTACAGGGTCAGCCATATTAGTATGATAGGTGTTGTTTTACAGGGTCAGCCATAGTAGTATGATAGGTGTTGTTTTACAGGGTCAGCCATAGTAGTATGATAGGTGTTGTTTTACAGGGTCAGCCATATTAGTATGATAGGTGTTGTTTTACAGGGTCAGCCATATTAGTATGATAGGTGTTGTTTTACAGGGTCAGCCATAGTAGTATGATAGGTGTTGTTTTACAGGGTCAGCCGTATTAGTATGATAGGTGTTGTTTTACAGGGTCAGCCATAGTAGTATGATAGGTGTTGTTTTACAGGGTCAGCCATATTAGTATGATATGTGTTGTTTTACAGGGTCAGCCATAGTAGTATGATAGGTGTTGTTTTACAGGGTCAGCCATAGTAGTATGATAGGTGTTGTTTTACAGGGTCAGCCATAGTAGTATGATAGGTGTTGTTTTACAGGGTCAGCCATAGTAGTATGATAGGTGTTGTTTTACAGGGTCAGCCATAGTAGTATGATAGGTGTTGTTTTACAGGGTCAGCCAATAGTAGTATGATAGGTGTTGTTTTACAGGGTCAGCCATAGTAGTATGATAGGTGTTGTTTTACAGGGTCAGCCATAGTAGTATGATAGGTGTTGTTTTACAGGGTCAGCCATAGTAGTATGATAGGTGTTGTTTTACAGGGTCAGCCATAGTAGTATGATAGGTGTTGTTTTACAGGGTCAGCCATAGTAGTATGATAGGTGTTGTTTTACAGGGTCAGCCATAGTAGAATGATAGGTGTTGTTTTACAGGGTCAGCCATAGTAGTATGATAGGTGTTGTTTTACAGGGTCAGCCATAGTAGTATGATAGGTGTTGTTTTACAGGGTCAGCCATAGTAGTATGATAGGAGTTGTTGGCTGAGCCGTTGTTGCTCCTAGAGATTTCCACTTCACAATAACAGCACTTACAGTTGACCGGGGCAGATCTTGCAGGGCATAAATTTGACGAACTGACTTGTCGGAAAGGTGGCATCCTATGATGGTGCCACGTTGAAAGTCACTGAGCTCTTCAGTAAGGCCATTCTACTGCCAATGTTTGTCTGTGGAGATTGCATGGCTGTGTGCTCGATTTTATACACCTGTCAGCAACGGGTGTGGCTGAAAATAGCCGAATCCACTAATCTGAAGGGGTGTCCACATACTTTTGTATATATAGTGTATATGTCACATTTAATATATGGGTTTTAAATATATTATCATATATAAAAAATATGTCACGTTCTTTGATATACGTGGCCATAAATGACTTTTCTGTATGGGGTTAGCCCGCTAAGCTAAAGCCTAGGAAGTCTTAAGGTTGTATAGAAGGCTGCTCATCATGCGAGTAGTTAACTGTTGAACCACCTTTGCCAAACCTATATTTTATAGTATAGTATTTGTATAGATTCATGTATAGTATTTAGTATATTATAGTATTTCTTATAGTATTTCTTATAGTTTTGCTATGGTATGGTAGAGTATCTCTTATGTCCTTAGTTCTGTATAGCGCTCCTCCCTCCCCTCCCCAGGATGGACCCACTCCGTACATATACACTGAGTATACCAAACATTAGGATCACCTTCCTAATATTGAGTTGCACCCCCCCCCTTTGGCCCTCAGAACAGCCTCAATTTGTCGGGAGATGGACTCTACAAGGTGTCAAGTGATCCACAGGGATTCTGGTCCGTGTTGACTCCGATGCTTCCCACAGTCGTGTCAAGTTGGCTGGATGTCCTTTTGGGTGGTGGACCGTTCTTGATACACACGGGAAACGGTTGAGCGTGAAAAACCCAGCAGTGTTGCAGTTCTTGACACAAACCGGTGCGCCTGGCACCTACTACCATACCCCGTTCAAAGGCACTTACATTTTTTGTCTTGCCCATTCACCCTCTGAATTGCACACATACACAATCCATGTCTCAATTGTCTCGAGGCTCAAAAATCCTTCTTTAACCTGTCTCCTCCCCTTCATCTACACTTATTGAAGGGAATTTAACAGGTGACATCAATAAGGGATCATAGCTTTCACCTGGATTCACCTGGTCAGTTTTTCATGGAAAGAGCAGGTGTGCTTAATGTTTTGTACACTCAGTGTATATGATATTGTAGTATAGTATTTCTATGTAATATATAGTATAATATAAGTAAGTGTTGTATAGCTCACCCCCCCCTCCTCTCCTCCTCAGGGCGGACCCACTCCATGACCAACGGCACCCTGTCCATGTCCAAGTCCCCACCGTCCAATGGAAGCTTCACATTCGGTGGGGAACACATGCGTAGCGACGGCCAGGTGTACCACACGGTCCACAAGGACTCCGGTCTCTACAAAGACCTGCTCCACAAGATCCACCTGGGACGGCTGGAGGACGACCGCTCCGCCCCCACGCCAGACAACAACTACCGTCTGCTGCGGCGCAACAACAGCTACACCTGCTACACAGCTGCCATCTGTGGCGTGCCGGTCCAGCCGCCGCTCCGCTCCGAGTCCCGGGAGGCCCGAGAGGACAGCGAGAAGCTGGTGGGGGATGGGGAGAGGTCGGGGAGCGTGTCCTACGCCAAGAAGAGGGTCCGTTACGATAGCTACTCGTCGTACTGTAACGCTGTGGCGGAGGCCGAGATCGAGGCGGAGGAGGGCGGCGTGGAGATGAAGCTGGCGTCTGACCTGGGGGGGGGCGAGGAGGCAGCGGCGCCAGGGGCTCCCGTCCCGCTGGATGACTCGGCGGAAGAGGACGAGGGGGAGAAGGACAAGCCGACCGTCTACCTGCTCTTCCACTTCCTGCAGATCCTCACCGCGTGCTTCGGATCCTTCGCTCACGGAGGCAACGACGTCAGGTGGGTGCCGCTCCTCGGCTGACTAGGGTTGCTAAATTCCTGAAACTTTACCCAGAGTACCCAGGTATTCCAGAAATACGTTTATTTTCTGAGTTTACAGAATTTTGCAACCCTACAGCTGACTACCAGTCAACGCAACACAATTACCATTCAATGTGTTCACACAACTACAACCTTTGCTAACGTTCACCTCATATGCCATATAACCCATAAAACTAGTGTCAAACAGAAAGGAAACTGCCTGACACTGACTTCCCTCTCAAACAGAAAGGAAACTGCCTGCCACTGAATTCCCTCTCCCGCTGCACTAACTACCATTCATCATAACACAACTACCATATCATGTTATCCACAAAACGATGTTATAATGAGTTATTCATAAATCTGTCTTTCAACATCTTCTCCCCCCTGCAGTAATGCCATCGGCCCGTTGGTGGCGCTGTGGATGATCTATGACCAAGGCGGGGTGATGCAGGACGCTGCCACCCCCATCTGGCTGCTGTTCTACGGGGGCGTGGGCATCTGCTGCGGCCTCTGGGTGTGGGGGCGCCGGGTGATCCAGACCATGGGCAAGGACCTCACCCCCATCACCCCCTCCAGGTGAGAGGAGGGAGGGAGGGAGGGAGGGAGGGAGGGGGTGGGTGGCTGCATGTGGCTGGTTGGGTGGGAGGGAAGGAGGGTCCCATGCATTTGGATACACGTACACCGCATTAAAATACAGTTCAACATAACACAACTACTAATTACATCACAGATAATTCACAGATAATCACAGATACAGTGTCTTGCAAAAGTATTCATCCCCCTTGGCGTTTTTCCTATTTTGTTGCATTACAACCTGTACTTTAAATGGATTTTTATTTGATTTCATTTAATGGACATACACAAAATAGTCCAAATTGGTGAAGTGAAATGAAAAAAATAACTTGTTTCAAAAAATTCTAAAAAAATAAATAACGGAAAAGTGGTGAGTGCATATGTATTCACCCCCTTTGCTATGAAGCCCCTAAATAAGATTTGGTGCAACCAATTACCTTCAGAAGTCACATAATTAGTTAAATAAAGTCCACCTGTGTGGAATCTAAGTGTCACATGATCTGTCACATGATCTCAGTATATATACATCTGTTCTGAAAGGCCCCAGAGTCTGCAACACCACTAAGCAAGGGGCACCACCAAGCAAGCGGCACCATGAAGACCAAGGAGCTCTCCAAACAGGTCAGGGACAAAGTTGTGGAGAAGTACAGTTCAGGGTTGGGTTATAAAAACATATCCGAAACTTTGAACATCCCACGGAGCACCATTAAATCCATTATTAAAAAATGGAAAGAATATGGCACCACAACAAACCTGCCAAGAGAGGTCTGCCCACAAACTCACAGACCAGGCAAGGAAGTCATTAATCAGAGAGGCAACAAACACACCAAAGATAACCCTGAAGGAGCTGCAAAGCTCCACAGCGGAGATTGGAGTATCTGTCCATAGGACCACTTTAAGCCGTACACTCCACAGAGCTGGGCTTTACGGAAGAGTGGCCAGAAAAAAAGCCATTGCTTAAAGAAAAAAAAATAAGCAAACACGTTTGGTGTTCGCCAAAAGGCATGTGGGAGACTCCCCAAACATATGGAAGAAGGTACTCTGGTCAGATGAGACTAAAATTGAACTTTTTGGCCATCAAGGAAAATGCTATGTCTGGCGCAAACCCAACACCTCTCATCACCCCGAGAACACCATCCTCACAGTGAAGCATGGTGGTGGCAGCATCATGCTGTGGTGATGTTTTTCATCGGCAGGGACTGGGAAACTGGTCAGAATTGAAGGAATGATGGATGGCGCTACATACAGGAAAATTCTTGAGGGAAACCTGAGATTTGAGACTGGGATGGAGGTTTACCTTCCAGCAGGAATAGTTATGCACGCTCAAGTTTTCAGTTTTTTTGTCTTATTTCTTGTTTGTTTCACAAGAAAAAATATTTTGCGTCTTCAAAGTGGTAGGCATGTTGTGTAAATCAAATGATACAAACCCCCAAAAAATCAATTTTAATTCCAGGTTATAATGCAGCAAAATAGGAAAAATGCCAAGGGGGGTGAATACTTTCACAAGCCACTGTAAGTAAACAAATACACACACTTGCATCGTGTCCACAGATTCATAAACTCACTCATACACAGATTCATATACTCACTCATACACAGATTCATAAACTCACTCATACACAAATTCATAAACTCACTCATACACAGATTCATAAACTCACTCATACACAGATTCATATACTCACTCATCCACAGATTCATATACTCACTCATCCACAGATTCATATACTCACTCATCCACAGATTTATAAACTCACTCATACATAGATTCATAAACTCACTCATACACAGATTCATATACTCACTCATACACAGATTCATAAACTCACTCATACACAGATTCATAAACTCACTCATCCACAGATTCATAAACTCACTCATCCACAGATTCATATACTCACTCATCCACAGATTCATATACTCACTCATCCACAGATTCAAATACTCACTCATCCACAGATTCATATACTCACTCATACACAGATTCATATGCTCATTAATATATTTTTCACTGAACAAAAATATAAATGTATCATGCAACATTTTCAAAGATTTTACTGAGTTACTGTTCATGTAAGGAAATCAGTCAATTGAAATAAATTAATTAGGCCCTAATCTATGGATTTCACATGACTGGAATACAGATGTGCATCTGTTGGTCACAGATACAGTACCTTAAAAAAAAAGTAGGGGTGTGGATCAGAAAACCAGTCAGTATCTGGTGTGACCACCATTTGCCTCATGCAGCGCGACACATCTCCTTCGCATAGAGTTGATCAGACTGTTGATTGTAGCCTGTGGAATGTTGTCCCACTCCTCTTCACTGGCTGTGCGAAGTTGCTGGATAATGGCGGGAACTGCAACACGCTGTCGTACACGTCGATCCAGAGCATCCCAAACATGCTCAATGGGTGACATGTCTGGTGAGTATGCAGGCCATGGAAGAACTGGGGCATTTTCAGCTTCCTGGAATTGTGTACATATCCTTGCGACATGGGGCCGTGCATTATCATGCTGAAACATGAGGTGATGGCGGCAGATGAGTGGCACAACAATGGGCCTCAGGATCTCGTCACGGTATCTCTGTGCATTCAAATTGCCATCGATAAAATGCAATTGTGTTCATTGTCCGGAACTTATGCCTGCCCATACCATAACTGCATTGCCACCATAGGGCACTCTGTTCACAACGTTGACATCAGCAAACTGCTCGCCCACACAACGCCATACTGAACTTGAACCCTGCCATCTGCCCGGTACAGTTGAAACCGGGATTCATCCGTGAAAAGCACACTTCTCCAGCATGCCAGTGGCCATCGAAGGTGAGCATTTGCCCACTGAAGTCGGTTACGATGCCGAACTGCCGAACTGCATCCCTGTTGAGGATGACGAGCACACAGATGAGTTAACCTGTTCGTGAATTATTTTGTTGTGCAAACCCACAGTTTCATCAGCTGTCTGGGTGACTGGTCTCAGACGATCCCGCAGGTGAAGAAGCCGGATGTGGAGGTCCTGGGCTGGCGTGGTTACATGGGTTACGGTTGTGAGGCCGGTTGGATGTACTGCCAAATTCTCTAAAAAGATTTTGGGGGCGGCTTATGGTAGAGAAATGGACATTCAATTCTCTGGCAACAGATCTGGTGGACATTCCTGCAGTCAGCATGCCAATTGCACGCTCCCTCAACTTGAGACATTTGTGGCATTGTGTTGTGTGACCTTTTATTTTCCCCAGCACAAGGTGCACCTGGGTAATGATCATGCTGTTTAATCAGCTTCTTGATATGCCACACCTGTCAGGTGGCTGGATTGTCGTGGCAAAGGAGAAATGCTCACTAACAGGGATGTAAACAAATTTGTGCACAAAATTTGAGAGAGAATTTCTGGGATCTTTTATTTCAGATTATGAAACATGGGACCATCACTTTACATGTTGCGTTTATATTTTGGTTCAGTGTACATGCACACAGTTGAAAACACTAAAAGGCTCACAGCTTTACACTTTACTGCTGCTTGTTGCATGCCTGCCTGTCTGTATCTGCATGAAGAAGTCTGCATGACCCTTTCTCCTGAACGGAACCACTCACACACCCCTGTAGGACCACTAGAACCTACTCCTCAACAAGGCTAGAACCCTTCTCTACTCTAGTCTTCCTTGATCCTCACTAGAACCCTTCTCTACTCTAGTCTTCCTTGATCCTCACTAGAACCCTTCTCTACTCTAAAACCCTCCTTAATAGAACCCTACTGAGTGAAATATCCTAGTTATGCTTCTTAGAACCTGACACTACCCTTCTTAGAACTGTGAGACTGCACTATTCCCCCTCATTAGAACCCTGCTTCTTAGAACCCCGCCCCCTCACTAGAACCCGTTCCACCTCACTAGAACCTTGCTTCTTAGAACCTTATCCACCTCACTAGAACCCTGCTTCCTAGAACCTTATCCACCTCACTAGAACCTGCTTCTTAGAACCCTATCCACCTCACTAGAACCTGCTTCTTAGAACCCTATCCACCTCACTAGAACCCTGCTTCTTAGAACCCTATCCCCCTCACTAGAATCCTGCTTCTTAGAACCCTATCCACCTCACTAGAACCTGCTTCTTAGAACCCTACCCCCCTCATTAGAACTTTCTTCTTAGAACCCTATCGCCCTCACTAGAATCCTGCTTCTTAGAACCCTATCCCCCTCACTAGAATCCTGCTTCTTAGAACACTATCCACCTCACTAGAACCCTGCTACTTAGAACCCTATCCACCTCACTAGAATCCTGCTTCTTAGAACCCTATCCACCTCACTAGAATCCTGCTTCTTAGAACCCCATCCACCTCATTAGAACCTGGTCCAGGATTCTCTGTAGTCGACAGTAAACAAGTGTCTCTTCCTCTTCAACCCAGAAACATGAAGCAGCCCTAGGACAGCAGAGCTCATGTTAACCTCACTTTGACCCACAGACAGACACATTTAACCCTTTGTGTTATTCCCTAAAGGAGCAGAGAGCTCTGAAGCCTTAGTCCTCCATCTCCCCCTGTCTCACTCGCTCCCTCGCCGTGTCTCCTCTCTTTCTCTTTCCTGTATCTCTTCGTACTGCCTCTCTCTCTCTCTCTCTCTCTCTCTCTCTCTCTCTCTCTCTCTCTCATCTCTCTCCTCTCTCTCTCTCTCTCTCTCTCTCTCTCTCTCTCTCTCTCTCTCTCCTCTCGTCTCTCTCTCTCTCTCTTTCCCCACTCCTTCCCTGTTCTCACACCCTTCTCTTCCATCAGTGGCCATCTTTTCTTCTGGGGATAAAGGACAATTAGCTGTGGTTATCTAACTCTCTAAAGACTCTCCTTCCTCTAGTGTCCATTACCATAAATGTTCCTGTCTCCTCATAGTGTGTGTTATATCAACTGGAAATAATCAGTGATTCAGTAGTTTGACACTATTTGGAGCCGCTCAGTGGGTAGCACTAGTGCCCCTCACACACAAGTAAACAAAACATGAAGTCAAAAAATACAACAGAAAATATATATACAGTGTGTGCGAATGTAGTAAGTTATGGAGGTAAGGCAATAAGTAGGCCATAGTGCAAAATAATTACAATTTCGTATAACACTGTATCACATATAACCCTAACCCTAGCCCTCCCTAGTTAGGGTTGTACAGTGAGGGGAAAAAGTATTTGATCCCCTGATGATTTTGTACATTTGCCCACTGACAAAGACATGATCAGTCTATAATTTTAATGGTAGGTTTATTTGAACAGTGAGAGACAGAATAACAACTAAAAAATCCAGAAAAACGCATGTCAAAAATGTTATAAATTGATTTGCATTTTAATGAGGGAAATAAGTATTTGACCCCCTCTCAATCAGAAAGATTTCTGGCTCCCAGGTGTCTTTTATACAGGTAACGAGCTGAGATTAGGAGCACACTCTTAAAGGGAGTGCTCCTAATCTCAGCGTGTTACCTGTATAAAAGACACCTGTCCACAGAAGCAATCAATCAATCAGATTCCAAACTCTCCACCATGGCCAAGACCAAAGAGCTCTCCAAGGATGTCAGGGACAAGATTGTAGACCTACACAAGGCTGGAATGGGCTACAAGACCATCGCCAAGCAGCTTGGTGAGAAGGTGACAACAGTTGGTGCGATTATCCGCAAATGGAAGAAACACAAAAGAACTGTCAATCTCCCTCGGCCTGGGGCTCCATGCAAGATCTCACCTCGTGGAGTTGCAATGATCATGAGAACGGTGAGGAATCAGCCCAGAACTACACGGGAGGATATTGTCAATGATCTCAAGACAGCTGGGACCATAGTCACCAAGAAAACAATTGGTAACACACTATGCCGTGAAGGACTGAAATCCTGCAGCGCCCGCAAGGTCCCCCTGCTCAAGAAAGCACATATACAGGCCCGTCTGAAGTTTGCCAATGAACATCTGAATGATTCAGAGGAGAACTGGGTGAAAGTGTTGTGGTTAGATGAGACCAAAATCGAGCTCTTTGCCATCAACTCAACTCGCTGTGTTTGGAGGAGGAGGAGGAATGCTGCCTATGACCCCAAGAACACCATCCCCACCGTCAAACATGGAGGTGGAAACATTATGGTTTGGGGGTGTTTTTCTGCTAAGTGGACAGGACAACTTCACCGCATCAAAAGGACGATGGACGGGGCCATGTACCATCAAATCTTGGGTGAGAACCTCCTTCCCTCAGCCAGGGCATTGAAAATGGGTCGTGGATGGGTATTCCAGCATGACAATGACCCAAAACACACGGCCAAGGCAACAAAGGAGTGGCTCAAAAAGAAGCACATTAAGATCCTGGAGTGGCCTAGCCAGTCTCCAGACCTTAATCCCATAGAAAATCTGTGGAGGGAGCTGAAGGTTCGAGTTGCCAAACGTCAGCCTCGAAACCTTAATGACTTGGAGAAGATCTGCAAAGAGGAGTGGGACAAAATCCCTCCTGAGATGTGTGCAAACCTGGTGGCCAACTACAAGAAACGTCTGACCTCTGTGATTGCCAACAAGGGTTTTGCCACCAAGTACTAAATCATGTTTTGCAGAGGGGTCAAATACTTATTTCCCTCATTAAAATGCAAATCAATTCATAACATTTTTGACATGCGTTTTTCTGGATTTATTTGTTGTTATTCTGTCTCTCACTGTTCAAATAAACTTACCATTAAAATTATAGACTGATCATTTCTTTGTCAGTGGGCAAACGTACAAAATCAGCAGGGGATCAAATACTTTTTTCCCTTGTACAACCCTAACCCTACCCCCCCCCCCTTCCACAGTAGCACATGTTGTGTATCTTGAAACAGCCCCACCCTAACTCCCCCCTCCTAATCCTGCATGGAAGTTCTAATCTGAAGTTTTTTAAAAGGTTATATGATGTTAGTGTGTGTGTGTGTGTGTCTGTCTGTCTGTGAGAGAGACTATGTTACTTCTATGAAGGCCTGTGTGTGTGATGATGTAAAAAGTCAGGATTGACGGTTAAGGATGTCTCTCTAACCCCCCGTCCTCTTCACAGTGGATTCACTATAGAGCTGGCTTCAGCACTCACTGTTGTGTTGGCTTCCAATATCGGAATCCCTGTCAGTACCACACACTGCAAGGTACGACCTAGTCTGGAGGACTGGCCTCCCAGCCACACCACACCCTTACACTCACATGGCATGTTGTGTTGTGGTTAGGTGTGGTGTGTAGGTGTGGTGTGGTGTGTAGGTGTGGTGTGGTGTGTAGGTGTGTGGTGTGGTGTGTAGGTGTGTGTTTGTGCCCACAGGTGGTGCTGTTTGCTGCAAGCCTCCCAAGGCTGGGCTGCCTCACTCCCCAAATGCAACCCTCCAACTCCTCCTTTACTTGTCTCACTTCTCTTCTCTGTGTTTTTGTACCCCTCCATCTATTTCTCTCTCTCTCTCTCTCTCTCTCTCTCTCTCTCTCTCTCTCTCTCCTCCTCTCTCTCTCTCTCTCTCTCTCTCTCTCTCTCTCTCTCTCTCTCTTTGCTCTCTCTCTTTTGCTCTCTCTCTATTTTGCTCTCTCTCTATTTGCTCTCTCTCTATTTTGCTCTCTCTCTCTCTATTTTGCTCTCGCTCTCTCTCTCTCTCTCGCTCTCTCTATTCCATCTCTTCACAGTGGGTTTTGCGTTGAAGTAATGAGTGCTCTGTCAGTGCTTGTTGCCTCTAATGTGGGCATCCCAATAAGCTCCACCCACTGCAAGGTATTGGCATGCTGGTTGGTTAGTGAAGCCATGTAGGTCCTCCCATCAGCTTCACTAGACTGAATCTGAGCCAATCACAACTCTCTGAGTTGCAGCTTTGACCTCTTGTGCACTTTCCCTCCGGCGGTGATTGTGTGGTGGATATTTTAATCAATAATGAGGAGAGACAAGGTCAATCACCAATCAGAATATTAACTTTATAAAAAAACATATCGACAAGGGAGCTGGTCACAATACCCACACCAAAGTGAATAGAGTGAGAGCCCAACGAACAGGAAATGCTGACGTCTTATATAGTGGACCTAAAAATGCTTAGTCATGGCTGGTTCCACCGCTCCCCGGCAGATCAGGAGCCACCTTGTTTTCTTCTTGTGGCTATGTGTATCGGGTCATAGCGCACAAACAAGCGATAACGTTAGTTCCGTCACTGCCCATATATCCACACAGCCGCGCCCTTGGAAGATAGTAAAAGACAGGATTAACCTGAAAAACTGTGGTCACTCTGAGGCTCTCTCCGTCTTGGACCATGTGACCAGGAAGCAACGAGAAATGGAAACAATACAGGTCTGTCTGTTCCTCAAGTTGATCTCTATCCCGTGTCCTTGACTACACGCCCAGACCAGCTGCAGGGAGCTGGAGGGAACCATCCTTACGAAAAGCACAGCATTGGTAGTTACGAAATGTCTCTACTATTGTTAGGCATATTAATCGTTAACTATTAATATTAAACGAATCAGGTAAATACGTGATCTTTCTCTCACAATTGTTGAAGGCGTGAGCGCTCAGATGAGATGTCTTAGTCTTACCATCACACACACAACACTTAGCAGACGTAGTGAATATATATATATATATGCAATAGTTGGCAGAGTTCAAATAGGTATGTAGCTAGCCTGCCTGATATTGACATGTTTAAATGTCATGCCCAAATCATCCCAAGGTCTCTGAAAATGATTGTGTAGCTCAATGGGATTGTGTAAGTAATGAAGTTAGTTATTTCAGTGAAGTCTCAGTTCCTGATGAATGAAACGCACCATGCTAGCCTCCGGCAGACCACTTATAACACAACTCCCTTCATTTGATTAGTCACTGCACTCCAGTCATCTGTTATTCAGTGGTTGACTCAGGCCACATCCTAAATGGTACCCTATCCCCTTTATAGTGCACACTACCTTTGGCTAGCTCCCATAGGGCTCTGGTCTAAAGTAGTGCACTATAAGGAATAGGGTGCCGTTTAGGAGCATTCTCAGTTATGCTGTCCATTCATGATACAGACACATTAGGGAAAGAAAGTCGTGTATAGCCGCAACTCTGACCCTCTAGAACACCGACTCAACTGCTTCGTTCAACATTTCAGCAGCAGGTCAGGTCTTGGTCAGCGTTTTCCTTTTAGTTACATTCAAGCTTTTATGTAACATTTTAAAGTTTCAAGTTCATTTGCCTTGTATTAAAATACATTCAACATCTGCTAGGGGTGGAAAATGCACAAGAAACAAAACTGACTTTTCAATCGATTTCAAAATGGCTTAATTCCCTAAAATCAACCTGAACTGATGCTAAACCATTTCTCTTGATTTCTCACCTCCTCCTCCTCGACTCCCCTTGGTAGCAGTAGGCCTACTCTTTTTAACATGCTAACAGCTAGCTATGTCAGCTGTATGATTTCTGATTGATTGTGTCCCTGCAATATGGTGATTGGTTGATTTATTAATTTGTTGTTTGATGTGTCAGGGGCTTAACTGAGATCAGGGTCGTGTTCATTAGGGCACGCCGTAGCAAAATGTTCTGCAACGGAAGATGAAACTTACCATTGACAAGTTCAGATCGTCCCTCCCTCTTTCAGTCTGTTGTCATCCGTTTGGTGTCTAATGAACAGGACCCTGTTGGCACTTAGTGACCTCTATCAAGTCCACTGTAGAGTGGGTTTTGGGTACAGGGTTTTGGGGTCCATTCCGTTTGAACCCAGTTCATTAACGAGAAACTCCCTACTCCGTTATTAAGCTAATATATAACAGAGGGGACACCCTCAACCCTGGTTGGTTAGTCGTGAAGATGTGCAGTGACTCTGCCGTTCAGTCGGCATCAAACAAGGGACGCGTTCCAGGCCGACTACATTGCCTGCCAGATCTCACAACGCCCCGGATAGGTATTTAACATATCAGCTAACCACATCGTATGATACAGCAATCTGATTATCTATTTAACATATCAGCTAACCACATCGTATGATACAGCAATCTGATTATCTATTTAACATATCAGCTAACCACATCGTATGATACAGCAATCTGATTATCTATTTAACATATCAGTAATCACTAACTGTAAGTGGCTCTGGATAAGAGCGTCTGCTAAATGACTAAAATGTAAAATGTAAATGTAATACAGCAATCTGATGCCTGACTGCACAGTTGTTGACATCGCACGCAACCATCGGTTGAAGCGCTCAACGCCACTGCAATGTAGTGTGTCTGCAACAGTTTCCATACTCACAACGTTAAGGTCCCTTAATCAGATCAGCTAGGCAAAAGATCAGAATTGGGCTGCCAGTGTAAACGCAGCCACAGATAGTTTATCTGTGTCAGAGTGGTCTGGAAACATTGGCAGTCCCTGCTGACCCAGGTCACATTTAGCTGTTGCTATCTACATCACAGGAGGGAGGGAGAGGGAGGGAGGGAGAGGGAGGGAGAGGGAGGGAGGGAGGGGGAGGGGGAGAGGGAGGGGGAGGGAGGGGAGGGATGGGAGATCTATTGTTAGTTTGATCTATTAAGTATTTGATGAAGACAAGGTGAGTAAATATGTTAGATTAGATATGTGTTATTGTGGAAGCCTGAACTTAGCAGAAGTATGCACTGAAGGAAACATACACAATCACACATACATTGACATTTTATTGATTTTGGGTGAATTCCATTTTTGGAGGGGGGTGAAATATCAAACCAAACTGCAAATTTCAGACTTCAACGGACTGATTTGAAGAAAACCTACTAATAGAAGTGTTCAAATCAGCTGGCACTACTAACCTAGGAGCTTTAAAATCTGGTCTTGTCACCAACCAACCCTAGTCCTGCTGGGCTCACAGCAGGCTTTTGTTCTATCCCTGCACTAACCCACCTGACTCTCAGGTCAGGTCTTGGGCAGTAACTTGTTGCAACGCCTGCACACCCTTCTCCAGGACCAGGTTTGGTGTACCAGGACTACTGGTTGAACTGATATAAATGTAACCCTGACTGTGCTGCTGTTGATTTGGTTCCTGTTTTGTTTTTCTACCTCTATGCATTGCCGTGACGACCAGGTGGGCTCGGTGGTAGCGGTTGGCTGGATCCGCTCCAAGAAGGCGGTTGATTGGCGGTTGTTCCGTAATATCTTCCTGGCGTGGTTCGTCACGGTGCCGGTGGCGGGGCTGTTCAGCGCCGCGGTCATGGCCCTGTTCGTCTACGGCATCCTCCCTTATGTCTGAGGAAGAGAGGAGAGAGGGAGAAAAGAAGAGAGGAGAGAGGGAGAGAGGGGAAGGTGGAGAGGAGAGAGGGAGGCCTCAAGCAGATGGGATGGGATGGGGGGGGGGGGGTGGGTATGAGGAGTAAAAGTGAGGGGTAAAGAAAGAGGAGATGAAAAGAGTGGGCCTTGAAGTTAAGAATGGGGCTAGGGGGTGAAAAGAGAGATGGAGGGATGGAGTGGTTAATTACACTGTTTCTAGAGGAGAGGGATACATGGCGGTTTGTCTAGAGGGTTAGATACATGCTGCCTGGGTTCTAGTCCTGAAGAGGGTTAGATCAACATGCCTGACTGGAGGGTTCTGCTGGTTCCTGAAGAGGGTTAGATCACATGCTGCCTGGGTTCTAGTCCTGAAGAGGGTTAGATCACATGATCCTGGCCTGGGTTTAGTCTAGTCCAGAGACTGAGAGGGTTGACTTCCTGTTTGGTCTGAGAGTGGATTGCTGCCTGGTTTTTGAAGAGTTGATTAATTGCTGGTTAGTCATAAAGGGTGGATCACAGCTGCATGGGTCTAGTCAAGACTTGTTGACTTCATCTATTTGGTTTTTTTAATTGCATTAAAAAAAACTAAGGTGTTACAAGTGTTAATCTTACAGTTCAACCTGCTGTACAGACATACATATCACAGACTTACATATCACAGACTTACATATCACCGACATAGCTACATATTACAGACATACAATGCCTTCAGAAAGTATTCATACCCCTTGACTTATTCCACATGTTGTTGTTTTACAGCCTGAATTCAAAATGGAGTTCACCCATCTACACACATTACCCCATAATTCCAAAGTGAAAACATGTTTTTAGAAATGTTTGCTAATTTATTGAAAATTAAATAAAGAATTGTATCTTTTACATAAGTATTCACACCCCTAAGTCAATACTTTGTAGAAGCACCTCTGGGTGAGTCTCTAAGAGCTTTCCACACCTGGATTGTACAACATTTGCCCATTTTTATTATTTTCTAAATTCTTCAAGCTCTGTCAAATTGGTTGTTGATTTGATATGGTTGAACATATGGAGTGCTACTCAGTAATGTGTTGTATTGGATTTGCCCCTAAACCTTACACTTTGTATTCTGGACAAAAAAAGTTAATTGCTTTGCCACAATCTTTGCAGTGTTACTTCGGTGCCTTGTTGCAAACAGAATGCATGTTTTGGAATACTTTTATGCTCGACAGGCTTCCTTCTTTTCACTCTGTCAATGAAGTTAGTATTGTGGAGTAAATACAATGTTGTTAATCCATCCTCAGTCTGTAACCGTTTTAAAGTCACCATTGGCCTCATGGTGAAATCCCTGAGCGGTTTCCTTCCTCTCCGGCAACTGAGTTAGGAAGAAGGACACCTGTATCTTTGTAGTGACTGGGTGTATTGATACACCATCCAAAGTGTAATTAATAACTTCACCATGGTCAAAGGGATATTCAATGTCTGCTTTTTAAAATGTTTACCCATCTACCAATAGGTGCCCTTCTTTGCAAGGCATTGGAAAACCTCCCCTGGTCTTTGTGGTTGAATCTGTGTTTGAAATTCACTGCTGGACTGAGGGACCTTACAGATAATTGTATGTGTGGGGTACAGAGATGAAGTAGTCATTAAAAACATCTTGTTAAACACTATTTTTGCACAAGGAGTGCGTCCCTGCAACATATTATGTGACTTGTTAAGCACATTTTTACTCCTGAACTTATTTAGACATGCCGTAACAAAGGGGTTGAATACTTATTGACTCAAGACATTTCATTTTTTTTTTAATTATTAATCTGTAAAAAAAAAAAAATCTAAAAACATAATTCCACTTTGACATTGTGTGTATGCCAGTGACAAAAAATATATCAATTTAATCCATTTTAAATTCAGGGTGTAACACAACAACGTGGAAAAAGTCAATGGGTGTGAATCCTTTAATGGCATTGTACATATCACAGACGTATATTACAGATGTACATAATTACAGACTTACTTATTACAGACATACATATTAAGCCCTATCGCACGGGACTAAGGTTAATATTACTACAGACCGTCGGTTATGTAATTATTACCCCAGCATGTCTGTTTTTCCAGGGATTCGTTTTTACCAAACTGCCCCTGTCAGCTTTTTTTCCCCTCATTCCACAATATCCCGTTATGACGGAAGCCTGGAGGCTCTTCTAGGCGTGAAGATATTTCACATGTCTAGGGATAGAATAATATTGGTCTACTGACCTTCAGTTTGGAGGACGTCAAAAATAATAATGCATATCGATAAGAACCATGAACTGGAACCGACGCAGACGTCTAATGACGTATTTGGCCATTTCTGAATTCATTGGCACAATATCGTCCACTTCATCTTTTTAAAAGAGAAGTATCGCACTAGGAAAGTTGATATATGACAAAACAGATCATTCAGCTGTAGGCTACGTGCATAGCACTTTGTTTTAAGCGTCAATGTGTTCCCATGTTCTTACCCAAACTGGATGCAGCACCTGTTAAACTCTGTAATATCCCTCAAAACACAGGGATGACGATTTGCACGGGATAAGTATTATCAGAGGACCTGGGAGTTTGCCGGAAAAAACACTAGGTTTTTAGGACTGAGATGGTAACCTTCCTGCCAAGTAAAAAAATAAATGTCATGACAGATTCGGACCGGACTAAAATAACGGATGTGTTGATTTTTGTGCTCGTCACATAATGACATGACCTGAGCTCCCCCAGTAAAATGTATCCCGTCCGAATAGGGCTTAAATACTAACATATGACAGACATACATGTTACAGACCTACGCCCTATTCGGACGGGATACATTTGAAGTGGACGATATTGTGCCAATGAATTCAGAAATGGCCAAATACGTCATTAAACGTCTGCGTTGGTTCCAGTTCATGGTTCTTATCGATATGCATTATTATTTTTGACGTCCTCCAAACTGAAGGTCAGTAGACCAATATTATTCTATCCCTAGACATGTGAAATATCTTCACGCCTAGAAGAGCCTCCAGGCCTCCGTCATAATGGGATATTGTGGAATGAGGGGGGAAAAAAGATGACAGGGGCAGTTTGGTAAAAACGAATCCCTGGAAAAACAGACATGCTGGGGTAATAATTACATAACCGACGGTCTGTAATAATACTAGTCCGGTACGAATAGGGCTATGCTGTACGTTAAGACACTGTAGTGTTTTACACAGTGATCTAAATATGAAAAGACAAATGCAGTCAATACAATGTTTCCTCACCAGTAAACATCGACACACACACACACACACACTGAACATAACAGAATAATTTGCACAACATGAATGCGACATGCCTAAAGCCCTCTAAGAATATATATTTCATTGCGTTAATAGTTGTTTCCTGCGCAAGGAGGTAGCAGCATAGTCGGTTTAGTAGCTATACTTAATGCCCAAAATAAATGTTTTACATATTGTACTATTTGAGTGCGATTTGTTGTACTGCAGCTTTGCTTTAAAACAGAAGATGTGTGCTTGGCTGGTCAGCCAAACCCCACGCACCCCCCTGCCCCTTCATAGTTACCTTTGACCCTTCGGTGACCCTTCATAGTTACGGCCCTAACATGCTAGCTAGACAGCCTAAACCCCCCCCCCCCCCCCCTGCCCCTTCATAGTTACCTTTGACCCTTCGGTGACCCTTCATAGTTACGGCCCTAACATGCTAGCTAGACAGCCTGAAAGGAAAGGTTGGAACAGACAGGGTCTTGTTGCCGCGGCAACCATCAAATCCTCCCAGGGTGGTGGGACTGCCATTTTTTTTATGTTACCATAGAAACCAGTTACCAGAAGAAGATGTCAACATTTTAACTGCATTCCTGTATGTTTTAAAGATGGATACCCAATTTTAAAGATGGATACCCTATTTTAATGTTTATATAATGTCATTTGTACTGTAAACACTATCATGGGGTTTTGGGTCTTTAGAAGAAAAAAAAACGTTTATTTTATTTAATTTTTTATAGGCCTACTTTGTTTGTCCATGGGAGGTATGATGTCACGTGTGTGTCACCCTGGGCCTAGAACCTGAGGTATAGAACACACACCGTTTATTCTGTCTGAACTAAGTTGAATTGAGTATTTGACATTTAAATTGAGTACATGGGTTTTTCTAATTTCAGAATAATATTTTACCAAAGATCCTGAGGAAACCCTTTATCAGTTCCAGTGTTCTGAACCATCACTTCAAACAAATCAATTTGACTATTTGCAGCAATTTAATCATAATCAAACTGTTTCCTTTCTGTAGGAAACTGCACATTCTCTTGTGCTCCAAGTACAGTATTAGAGGTGTGTGTGTGTGTGTTGGTTAGGATAGCTTAGGGTGAGTTACACTAGAGTTTCCCAAACTCGGTCCTGCCCCCCCCCCCCCCCCCCCAGGGAAAATGTATGGAGTAAAAAGTACATTATTTTCTTTAGGAATGTAGTGAAGTAAAAGTACAAGTAGTCAAAAATATAAATAGTAAAGTACAGATACCCCAAAAAACTACTTAAGTAGTACTTTAAAGTATTTTTACTTAAGTATTTTACACCACTGCCAATATCACGCAGACCCATTAGTGTAGCAGCAACCAAGATACTGAAACCAACCAACACACACACTCACCGCCTTTATAAGCCCCTATACCAGCAAACCTCCAGTATTCAGATGTCACACACCCATGCCAAATCCAGACTACACACACACACACACACACACACACACACTCTCTCTCTCTGAGCCAATCCTGGAGGCTCCCTAAACTAATTCTCATCTCTCCCTCCACTTCATATGTACCGGTCAGGGTGACTCTGTGGGTGTTTCTCAAAATGCGTACTACCGTGCTCTGAGCACGCAAATTGGAGCACGGGAAGGGTCGGAGTGACCGAGTCCAAATCAAAGTATACGAAACGGAGCACCGGTGGCACTTCTCAAAATGCGTACTCCATTTGTACATATTTTGAAGCATGCATCGATGCA